ACATATGGTGTTCTTAGTTTCCATACCGCCTGTGTTTTACGAGCAACTTATCAAGTCTTGGCAAACGGCATAAAACACGATTAAACATGAATATAAAACCATGCTCGTATCTACAACCTATAGAAAAGCAAAACGGCGTCAGTTTAGACATAATTCTGTCCTCCTGCTTACCGCATCATTTATGAGAAAACATTTCATAACATTAACACAACATATTCGAGGTGGTTTTAAATAACATATTGTAGTGCCGTGAAAAGAGAGTCGGCGGCGGTGTATTAAGAATGGAGTTCCAATCTTTATTATCCATTACTTTCAGAGAGGTTAACACACTGCTCTGCCTGATGAGCTAGCAGGAATGGCAGCTAAAGCTACAGGTGTTCCCCACTAAAGGGTCCGTGTGGCAACACAATAAGCAAGGTGAATTATGTCCAATAACGTGTCACCACACAAGCCCCCCCAGAATTCACACATAAACAAAATCAGCATGGCGGGGAGGAACGACACGCTGACCCCCACGACTCCTGAGCACGGGAGTCGGAAAAGTGACTCCCGCCTGTGCGGCCCCCGGAAGGGGAGGGACCGGAACAACAGGTCTTAAATCCGTGACAGGGGACGAGGCCGGGGGGCGGCCCCGTCGCGGAGGTCGAGCCAGCACCACAGGCTGGTCCAAGTCCAGGTGAGCAGCCTTCACCCGGTCCACCGAGACGTGCTCGGTCTTGCCACCCAGGTCGACCACCAGGTGCTTGTCCCCGTGCTCCAAGACCCGGAAAGGCCCATCATAAGGGGGCTGCAGGGGGCCTCTGTGCGCATCGTGCCGGATGAACACGTGCTCCGCCGAGCGGAGCTCTGCGGGAACCTGGGACACCTGAGTACCGTGCTGAGTAGTAGGGATCGGAGCAAAGGCCTCAGCGGCGTCACGCAGGAAAGCCCGCTGGGCCGACGCCGACCAGGGAGCCGATGCATTTGGGAGGAAATCCCCCGGAACTCTCAGCGGCTGACCGTAGACCATCTCCGCTGTAGAACACTGCAGATCTTCCTTAGGTGCGGTCCTCAGGCCCAGCATCACCTAGGGCAGCTTGTCGACCCAGTTACCGTCCGTAAGGCCGGCCTTGAGGGCCGGCCTTGAGGGCCGGCCTTGAGGGCCACCTTCATGGAGCGATGAAAGCGCTCGCAGAGGCCGTTAGCCTGAGGGTGGTAAGCGGTAGTCCTGTGCAGCTTAACCCCCAAAGCGCCTGCCACAGCGTTCCAGAGCTCGGACGTGAACTGAGAGCCCCTGTCTGAGGAAATGTCTGACGGGGTGCCAAAACGACACACCCACGTTGCAATGAAGGCCCGGGCAACGTCTGCGGCTGATGTCGAAACGAGCGGAACCGCCAACGGGTCGTTCTGTCCACCATGGTGAGGAGGTAGGAAAACCCCTGAGAGGAAGGCAACGGACCAACCAGGTCAATGTTGACGTGATCAAACCTCCTCTCAGGCACCAGGAAACGCTCCAACGGGGCCTTCGTGTGGCGGTGCACCTTAGTGCGTTGACAAGCCACGCACTCCCTGGCCCAAGTCCTCACGTCCCTTTTCAGTCCTTGCCAAACGAACTTCGCCGCTATCAAACGCACCGAAGGTTTAACGCCGGGGTGTGACAGGCCGTGCACAGCCTCGAACACAGGACGCCTCCAGCTGGCAGGGACGACAGGCCGCGCCAGGCCCGTAGAGACGTCACACAGGAGAGTAATGCCCGCGTCGCCGAACACCACGTCCTCCAAGCGCAGCCCCGCGCTCTCCACCTTCAGGGCCTGGACGCCGGGATCTGTGACCTGGTCTGCCGCCATGCGAGTATAGTCCAGGCCCAACTGGACGGCACCGATGACGACCCTGGAGAGGCAATCAGCAACCAGGTTCGACTTGCTAGCCACGTGCTTAATGTCCGTAGTGAACTCCGATATGTAGGACAGCTGCCGCTGCTGACGTGCCGACCAAGGCTCCGCCACTTTTGACATGGCGAAGGTGAGCGGCTTGTGGTCGACAAACGCCGTAAATTCACGGCCTTCCAGCATGAAACGGAAGTGCCGCACGGCCAAATAAAGTCCGAGGAGCTCCCGGTCAAAGGCGCTGTATTTGCGTTCTCTAGGCGTCAGCTGGCGGCTGAAAAAGGCGAGCGGCTGCCAAGCGCCCTCCACCCACTGCTCGTGCACTGCGCCGACCGCGTAGTCTGACGCGTCCGTGGTGATGGAGATGGGAGCCGTAGATGATGGGTGTGCCAGCAAAGCCGCCTGAGCCAACGCGGTCTTGACCTCAGCAAAAGCGCCGTCCGCCTCTGCTGTCCAGTCGATCTCCTGGACGGGGGTCTTGCCTTTCAACGCTTCATACAGCGGCCGCATAATGTGTGCGGCCCGGGCGATGAAACGGTGGTAGAAAGTCACCATCCCCAGAAACTCACGGAGCGACCGGGCTGTGAGCGGGCGAGGAAACGCCGCAACAGCCTCCACCTTCGCTGGCAGAGGTGTCGCACCGCCCTTGGTGACGCGGTGCCCCAGGAAATCGATGTCCGACACCCCGAACTGGCACTTTGCAGGATTGATGATTAATCCGTGTTCGTTGAGCCGTGTGAAAAGGGCTCGGAGGTGGGACAGGTGCTCCTGCACTGAAGCGCTGGCGACGAGTATGTCGTCGAGGTAAACAAACACAAACGGCAGGTCCCGCAGCACCGAATCCATCAGGCGCTGGAACGTCTGAGCGGCATTCTTGAGTCCAAAAGGCATCCGCAGGAACTCAAAAAGTCCGAAAGGCGTTATCACTGCTGTCTTGGGAATGTCCAGGGGGTGCATGGGCACCTGGTGGTATCCACGCACCAGGTCCACCTTGGAAAACACCCCCGTACCGGCCAGATGCGCCGAAAAGTCCTGAATGTGCGGCACCGGATAGCGGTCAGGCGTAGTGGCGTCGTTGAGTCGGCGGTAATCCCCGCACGGGCGGAACCCGCCGTTCGATTTGGGAACGACGTGCAGGGGGGAAGCCCAAGGACTGTCGGAGCGGCGGACAATGCCCAGGCGCTCCATGGTTGCGAACTCCGCCCTCGCTACAGCCAGCTTAGAAGGGTTTAACCGCCGGGCCCAGGCGTAGACAGGAGGCCCCCCGGTAGTGACGTGGTGTTCCACGCCATGCTTAGTGGTAAGCGCAGAGAAGGTGGGTAGCGACAGGTCTGGAAACTCGGCCAACAGTCTGAGAAACGTGTCTGCACCTGACAGCGAGCCTGACAGCCCGTCGTACGCTGCGCTGCCAAGTGTGCACACGAGGGAAGAAAACGTTAAGGCATCAACCAAACGCCTATTCTTAACGTCCACTAAGAGTCCATGAGCACACAAAAAAATCCGCTCCGAGGAGGGGAAAATAAATGTCCGCTGTCACAAAATCCCAGCTGAAACGCTGTCCTCCGATGCACAAACACATAGGTCTCACGCCGTACGTGCGAATGGGACTGCCGTTAGCCGTCGTCAATCGCGGTCCGTGCCCCCCACGGGCAACGTCTTCACTCGACGCTGGAACTACGCTCCGTTGAGCGCCCGTGTCACACAGAAACAAGCTCCCCGAAACGCTGTCGCTGACGAAGAGGAGCCTGCACGTGCCGCCGACGCTCAGAGCCACTACTGAGCGCCGGCCCCTCCGTTTCCCGGGGGTTTGTAGCTGCACGGAGCGATGCATCTCTTCGCCCTTGTCCCGAAACGTGCGTGGTAAACGCACTCTCCGGCGTCTCCACGCTGGCTAGCCACAGCCGTGTCCGGCCTCCGCCACGCTTTCTTGACTGCCGGTGGGCCGCTGAGCGTCGCGGCTAACGTCTCTGCCCCGGGCTGTTGCGTAGCCAGGAAAAAACGATCCGCTTCCTCAGCCAAAGCACGGGGCTCCGTGACAGGCGTGTTGGCCAGCGCCGTCTGTACCCGGGGAGGCAAGTGACGCAGGAAAATCTCCGTGAATAAAATCCGGGGATCTTCCCCCCCTAGCAGATTTAGCATTTTCTCCATTAGCTAGGATGGCTTGCTGTCTCCTAGGCCTTGAATGTCAAGTATCTGGCAGGCCCTCTCCTTAGCAGATATAAGCTAAATGTCTTAAGGAGAAGGGCCTTAATCGCCTCATATTTGCCATGATGTGGGGGGGGCTGCGATGAATCCCACCAACCTGGACGACGTGGAGCTCCCCAGCGCTGCTACCACATGGTAGTATTTTAGGTCCCCGTCACGGACCTGTCGGCAGGCGAAATGTGCCTCCACGTGTGCGAACCATGCCTCCGCGGCGTGCTCCCAGATTTCCGGCAGCTTTATGAAAACATCGCGCTCAGCCATGTTCGTTAATTTTCCGGAAACTTTCTCGGAAAAATCAGGGTCACCAGTGTAGTGCCGTGAAAAGAGAGTCGGAGGCGGTGTATTAAGAATGGAGTTCCAATCTTTATTATCCATTACTTTCAGAGAGGTTAACACATGCACTGCTCTGCCTGATGAGCTAGCAGGAATGGCAGCTAAAGCTACAGGTGTTCCCCACTAAAGGGTCCGTGTGGCAACACAATAAGCAAGGTGAATTATGTCCAATAACGTGTCACCACAATATCCGTATTTATTTATTTCTCCAAGTTACGTATTTGTGTGCACTGAGGAGTCTCAAACAGGCGTTTGTTAAATCATTTTAAGATTGGCTTTAATCAATGTTTGAAAATGAATTCTTCATATATGATAAATGAGAGGTAACGTTTTATTTATGGTATTATTTCCACATATTTCTCTCCATTCTTCCTTCTGCCAACGGTGTTGCAGTTTCTCGTCTCTCCCGTTTTTGTACTTAGTGCTACGCATGGGTTAGAGTTTGCGTGGAGGACGGCAAATTTTCCCGTCAAGTTAGTATTTTATAAATCGCAAACATTGCGTAGAAACTGGCGTACGCCATTTTTTTTTAGCGTATATCCCTTTATAAATGAGGCCCCTGGTCCTGATACTGCAGTCTCCGACGCTGCAGCTTCATGCTACTCACTCTGACAGCAAACGCAAGGCATCACATTAGGTTGGTGTATGTATTCAATCACTGTGCTTTCTCTGTGAGTGTCACGTAGCTGAGAGACAGGGTTGTTGCTCTTCGTGACTTCACGGTTGATGTTTCGAGTTGTTGGGCCTCGGCACTGATGTACGTCTCCAGATAGCAACAGGTAGAGTGTGATGATGATACGGCAGTTACTTTGACGTTTGTGTCGGACTTCACTATTTCGCTTAAGGTGATGTTGTTGTTGTTGTTGTTGTTGTTGTTGGCCCGTGGTGAGAACAAATGTTTGCAACAGAGCGTGTTTACCGTACCCAAAGTGCTGTCTGTGTGCACTGCTAAGATGCAGGGCCCATTATTCGGATTTAAGAATGGACCCATGTTTAAAAAGTTTAAAATGAAGGCATATGTTAAAAATGCAAGGAGAGCTCCTGTTACACCTGGGGGGTATACTACGAAGCAGGATTTTCGCTTAGCCGACTAAATTCAGGGAAAACTCCGGCTTTCCGGTCCTACGAAGCTGGTTCTCTTTTTAGCAGGCTAGATCTCCATGGTAACTTATGCTTAGCGGCTAACCTGGTCGGGACCAGGTTAGGTTGCAGGTTAAGAGCTCAACTCAGTGAAAGCACTGCCTGTTGACCAATCAGAGCTCAGTGTGCGGAGTTTAAAGCGATCAAGTCATATTACAGGAGAAAAGAAATACAGAAAAGCTGCCGTCGCAGGAAAGACGGCCGGCAAAAATCACCGACTGTGTGAACGTGAACATTAATAGAATATCACCTCCCATCTTCAGAGCAATCTGACTATTATAACATTAGCAATAGCATTAAGAAAGCTTACTTAAATATCTAGACTTGAGCAAATGTTCCTGAAGATAAATGACTGATCTACCTGCGCGTATATCTTGATAAACTGGTATAACGTGGGCTAGAAAAGAGCATCTGGTACATGCAAATAACTTTGGGTAAATAGTAAGTCATCATCACAGACAATTTCTGCCATGCCTTCAGATTAATCATCACTGTTTGCCTGCCCTCTAGAAACCAGAATAAATGATTTGGTCACAGTTGCCTAAAACCTTTTCCACTCCCTCACTTGTTGACTCTGCCTTCTATCCTGCATGCAATGTATGCAATCATGTTTGTAAATTCAATGTTACTCATGGTTAAAAAAACATATGCTAGCTCAAGTTAACCCCATGTAACCCTTTGCAGAGTTTGACCCAAAATGGCGGTGGGTTTCACTCTGTTCCTTCTGTCTGGGATGCTGATGTGTGGGCTGCTGCTCCACAAAGTGACCCAGCATGGAGGCAGTAAGAAGCCCAACTTCATCGTCATACTGGCAGATGATATAGGCTGGGGGGACCTGGATGCTAACCAGCCGGATGAGAAGAGAAACAACACGCCTCACCTCAACCTGATGGCCGAGCAAGGACAGAGGTAGATAATTCAGGACAAGATGTACTGATCTGTTATGTAGTTTTAAATGACCATAACCCTCATGTCTTGACCCCAGTGCCATACTGCAATAAACATGAACAGCTAGAACATCTCCTCCTTGAGTCCAATATTGATTGTTTGGGAATATCGGAATCTTGGCTAAAACAGTCATCACCATCCACTCTTGTATCTATGTCAGGATATAATGTGTTTAGGAAGGACAGACTGAAGGGAAAAGGAGGGGGGGTGTTGCTTTATGTGAGGAATACCTTTAATTGTAGGGAGATTGCACTCCCAGCTAATATTGAGTTTGATTGTGTTGGTGTGGAAATCAAACTATCTGAGGAAATGTCCCTCACCATGATTTGCCTGTATCAACAACCCACCGAAAGAGCTTAAAACGGATCACGGATAAACAAAACTTAATACAACTTTGGATCAACCGACTAGAATAACCAAAACCTCCAAGACTATGATAGATGTATTATTTACAAACAAAGCTGACAGAATAGTTAAAACCTACAACTTCCTGACTGGTCTTTCTGACCATAATCGTGTTTCTTTTGCCAGGAAACTCACAAAAAAAAAGGTTCATGGCCAAACCTAAAACCCCTGCCTTCGGTTCTCGCTTCATCTCCAAAAATCTGCAACAACGTTTTATGGATGCAGTGAAAATGATTGAGTGGGGGGACACTCTCTCCTCTGAAGACATTGGGGAAAACAGTAGTCTGTTTATATCTAAAATTAACGATGCAATGTCTTCCTTGGGATAGGAAGGAACATCATCTTCCCTGGCTGAATCTACAGTGCAGGAATCTAATGAAATCTAGTGACCAATTATTAAAGCAGAGCTTGAAATCCGGACTATCCACTGACAGACAGAAATTCACTCATGCTCGTAACAAGGTAACACAAACAATAAGACAGGCCAAAGCAAACGTTTTCATCAATATAATTGAAGGTGCGAAAGGTAACAGTAAAAACGTTTGGCAAATCCTAAATATACTATTGGGTAAACATAAGAAACAGGAAAATAATGCTCTAGTGATGATCAATGATGCCCTGATAAAAGACCCTGCAGTGTTGGCCAACTCTCTCAATGAGTATTTCATAAATAGTGCATTGGACATTGCAAAGCTCTTCCCGCCATCTGAGGTCTCACCTAGCCCAACTGTGGAAACACACCCCGTTTTTGACCTGGAGGAAATCACAGAGGTTGAGGTAAAACATATAATCTCAGGGTTAAGAGGTTCTAAGGCTAGGGATGCAGATGATTTAGACACCAACTTTATAAAGACACATATCGACGGTCTAATAAAACCAATCAGTATGCTAGTAAATCAATCTATCAGCACGAGGGAAATTCCATCGTCCTGGAAAGTGGCCACGGTGACACTGAATTTTAAATCTGGTGATAAGGCAATGATGTCCAATTACAGACCAATCAGCATCCTCCCCTGTGTCTCTAAAGGTCCTTACACACCAAACAAAGAACACCAAAGAACACCAAAGAACACGTCCCGACGGAACGTCGCCTCAAGTCTTGGCCATGTGTCGCTCTGGAACACACCGCAAAGACTTCAGCCGACGGCCAAGTTGCACGTACGAACTGCGCATGCGTGAGTGGCAATAACTCTCCTTACCAGCAGGCGTCGGTAGTGTGTATTCGTCATTCAAAAGAGGCAATAATCGGAAGACAGACTGCGTGATAACCGAGAGAAGAAGAACAGACTGCGTGATATAAACAAACAGCAAATAGCGTGCGTTCCATTTTCACTCTACAGCGAGAAGCTCACGGGGCTTTCCCGGACCTGTGTCGAGAGCTGGAGTTAAATGAAATCTCAGATTTGCCTTCTTAATAGTTTGTTTGGGTCCCTCACTTCTGTTTTGCTTCTCATGCACTGATTCGCTAAGCTGAACAGCCAATCAGAGTGATTTCTTTAGCCGACGGCCTCCCCGATTCAAGATGTCAAATCGGCGGTGGAAGGTGTCGGCACGGCCGAAAAGACACAACGGTGCAGTACACACCAAGACTCACCAATCTGAGTAGGGCGACGCAACACTCATCGACGGCCCGACATCTATCGATATCTATCGATGCCGAAAATCGGCTTGGTGTGTCAGGACCTTAAGATAGCTGAGAAATGGGTGTCAAAACTAATCACCAAACATTTAGACAAAGGTTTCGCTCCACTCCACCCAATGCAGTTTGGTTTCCGTGCTCACCACTCCACCGAGACAGCTAACTGTGTCTTTGTGGAAAAGGTTAAATGTATGTTGGACACGAGCCCTTATGTAGGTGCTGTCTTCCTTGATCTCAGGAAGGCATTTGACACTGTTGACCGCTAAGTGCTCCTTACAAAGCTGACTTATTTCAATGTTTCGGCAGATTCAATACAGTGGTTCAAGTCTTACTTATCAAACAGAAAACAGTGTGTTTTGGTCAACGGTGCCAAATCCCCCTACCTTGTCAACCCTGTTGGGGTTCCACAAGGTTCCATTCTTGGACCATTACTGTTTTCACTGTACACACTTTTGTATGTTTTCACCTGCCTAATGTATGTCCTGAGTTGAATGTACAAATGTATGCCGATGATGCGGTCATCTTTGTACACGGGAGAAAGACTGAAATAATCTCATCTTGTCTCTCTAATGCTTTGGACAAGGTTCAACCCTGGCTGAACAACATTTCCTTACAATTAAATGTAAAAAAGACAGTATGATGTTCAGTAAACAACCAGTCAAAATCGAAGGATCCAACCTATACAGTCTATGGATCCAACGTGTTTTTAAACGGAGCAGAAATAGAACTAGTCTCCCACTTCAAGTATCTTGGGGTCATACTGGACTCGAACTTGACTTTTAAGAAACATATTGAGAAATTATCCAATACTATTAAATTCAACTTGCAAAATGTTAAACAAATTAGACCCTTCTTAACTGTCAGTGCTGCAAAGTCATACCTCCACTGTATGATTCTATCCCATATTGAATACTGTTTTACAAACTGGTCGTTTGCTTGGGCCACAAACCTGAAACCAATAGAACAGCTGTACAAGAGAGCTATCGAGGTTTGTACCATCCTTGAAAAACACAATTTCTTGAGATTTGACAATTTTAAGTCTTTTAAAATTATGTGCTTTTTTAATAAATGTTTACATGGACTGGCCCCCCCTCCCTTATGGGAATTCATACGCTTGATACATTTTCATGTTTTAAGTGTTCATTACTGTGCATTGTTCCTGCCAAATAAACGATTAAATGAAAAAATAAAAATACGTGAGCTGAACACAAGGCAAGGCAAGGCAAGGCAAGTTTATTTATATAGCACTTTTCAACACAAGGCAATTCAAAGTGCTTTACAAAAAATGAAAGACATTAAGAAAATGGCATTTAAAATCAGTCATTAAAAAGAAAAGCTAATAAAATAAACATTAAAAGAAAAAATACATGGATAAAAGTTACAGTGCTGTCAATTAAACATTAAAAGAAAAAAGTACATGGATAAAAGTTACAGTGCAGTCTAAGATATGAATAGTTCAATTAAAAGCAGCGACAAAAAGAAAAGTCTTTAGTCTGGATTTAAAAGTAGTCAGAGTTGCAGCGGACCTGCAGGTTTCTGGGAGTTTGTTCCAGATATTTGGAGCATAATAACTGAACGCTGCTTTACCATGTTTAGTTCTGACTCTGGGGACAGAAAGCTGACCAGTCCCTGAAGACCTGAGAGATCTGGATGGTTCATAATTTAGCAGGAGGTCAGAAATGTATTTTGGGCCTAAACCATTCAGTGCTTTATAAACCAGCAGCAGTATTTTGAAATCTATTCTTTGACACACAGGAAGCCAGTGTAAAGACTTCAGAACTGGAGTGATGTGATCCACTTTCTTAGTGTTAGTGAGGACTCGAGCAGCAGCGTTCTGAATTAGCTGCAGCTTCCTAATAGATTTTTTAGTGAGACCTGTGAAGACACCATTGCAGTAGTCGAGTCTACTGAAGATAAAAGCATGGACAAGTTTTTCCAAATCCTGCTGTGACATTAGTCTTTTAATCCTAGATATATTCTTTAGGTGATAGTAGGCTGATTTAGTAACTGTTTTAATGTGACTGTTGAAGCTCAGGTCAGAGTCCATGACTACACCTAGATTTCTGGCTTTATCTGTTGTTTTGAACATTGCAGACTGAAGCTCAGCGCTAACTTTTATACGTTCTGCCTTGGCTCCAAAAACCATTACCTCAGTTTTATCTGTGTTTAATTGGAGAAAGTTCTGACACATCCAGTCATTGATTTGTTCAATGCACTTATTCAGTGTTTGAATTGGAGCATAGTCTCCTGGTGAAATTGTTACGTAAATTTGTGTGTCATCTGCATAGCTATGGTAACTTATTTTGTTGTTCTTCATTATCTGAGCCAGTGGTAGCATGTAGATGTTAAAGAGAAGAGGCCCCAAGATGGAGCCTTGAGGAACCCCACATGTCATATTTGTCAACTCAGATGTGTATTTACCTATAGAAACAAAGTTGTTTCTGTCCTTTAAGTAGGATTCAAACCAATTCAGAACTGTTTCCGAAAGTCCCACCCAGTTTTCCAGTCGGTCTAGTAATATGCTGTGGTCAACAGTGTCAAACGCAGCACTGAGATCTAATAATACTAACACTGAAGTTCTGCCATTGTCTGTGTTTAAGTGGATGTCATTAAAGACCTTTACAAGAGCAGTCTCAGTGCTGTGGTTTGGACGAAAGCCTGACTGGAACACATCGAAACAGTTATTTAAATGCAAGAAATTACTCAACTGTTGAAAAACAACTTTTTCAATGACACAGCCAGACAATCACAGCACTAATGGAACTGAACTGAACTTATGCTCAACTAAGTACATGTTTACAACCAACTGCACCTTATATTTGACCTCATATCGTTTTTATAGAACACATATTTATTTCTAGTTTTGTAATTATCAACTGCACTGATAATACATGTGCAATAACTTACTTATTGACTTGTTTACATTTTGTACTGCCTTGAACATATTGTATTTGTATGGTAATGTTGTATTGTTTTGTAAGCGTACTGTTCAATGTATCATAGGTCCAATTTATAGTCACTTTATATATTATATATTAAAATGTTTAGCTTGTATTGTCAAAATTATACTTATGTTGTCTGTTACACTGAACAAAAATATAAATGCAACACTTTTGTTTTTGCTCCCATTTTTCATGAGATGAACTCAAAGATCTAAAACATTTTCTATATACACAAAATAACCATTTCTCTCAAATATTGTTCACAAATCTGAAAAAATCTGTGATAGTGAGCACTTCTCCTTTGCCGAGATAATCCATCCCACCTCACAGGTGTGGCATATCAAGATGCTGATTAGACAGCATGATTATTGCACAGGTGTGCCTTAGGCTGGCCACAATAAAAGGCCACTCTAAAATGTTCAGTTTTATCACACAGCACAATGCCACAGATGTCGCAAGTTTTGAGGGAGCGTGCAATTGGCTTGCTGACAGCAGGAATGTCCACCAGAGCTGTTGCCCGTGAATTGAATGTTCATTTCTCTACCATAAGCCGTCTCCAAAGGCGTTTCAGAGAATTTGACAGTACATCCAACCGGCCTCACAACCGCAAACCACGTGTAACCACACCAGCCCAGGACCTCCACATCCAGCATGTTCACCTCCAAGATCGTCTGAGACCAGCCTCTCGGACAGCTGCTGCAACAATCGGTTTGCATAACCAAAGAATTTCTGCACAAGCTGTCAGAAACCGTCTCAGAGAAGCTCATCTGCATGCTCGTCGTCCTCATCGGGGTCTCGACCTGACTCCGGTTCGTCGTCGTAACCGACTTGAGTGGGCAAATGCTCACATTCGATGGCGTCTGGCACGTTGGAGAGGTGTTCTCTTCACGGATGAATCCCGGTTTTCACTGTTCAGGGCAGATGGCAGACAGCGTGTGTGGCGTTGTGTGGGTGAGCAGTTTTCTGATGTCAATGTTGTGAATCGAGTGGCCCATGGTGGTGGTGGGGTTATGGTATAGGCAGGCGTATGTTATGGACGACGAACACAGGTGCATTTTATTGATGGCATTGTGAATGCACAGAGATACCGTGACGAGATCCTGAGGCCCATTGTTGTGCCATTCATCCACGACCATCACCTCATGTTGCAGCATGATAATGCATGGTCCCATGTTGCAAGGATCTGTACACAATTCCTGGAGGCTGAAAACATCCCAGTTCTTGCATGGCCAGCATACTCACCGGACATGTCACCCATTGAGCATGTTTGGGATGCTCTGGATCGGCGTATACGACAGCGTGTTCCAGTTCCTGCCAATATCCAGCAACTTCGCACAGCCATTGAAGAGGAGTGGACCAACATTCCACAGGCCACAATCAACAACCTGATCAACTCTATGCGAAGGAGATGTGTTGCACTGCGTGAGGCAAATGGTGGTCACACCAGATACTGACTGGTTTTCGGACCCCCTCAGACCCCCCCAATAAAGCAAAACTGCACGTTTCAGAGTGGCCTTTTATTGTGGCCAGCCTAAGGCACACCTGTGCAATAATCATGCTGTCTAATCAGCATCTTGATATGCCACACCTGTGAGGTGGGGTGGATTATCTCGGCAAAGGAGAAGTGCTCACTATCACAGATTTTTTCAGATTTGTGAACAATATAGAAATGGTTATTTTGTATATATAGAAAATGTTTTAGATCTTTGAGTTCATCTCATGAAAAATGGGAGCAAAAACAAAAGTGTTGCATTTATATTTTTGTTCAGTGTATGTGTGATTGCACCATCGGGAATGCTTGGAATTTCGCTGTACTTTTCATTTCGTTTTTATTTGTTCCGCTCAACAACAAAATAAATGAAATGAAAAGTACCGCGAAATTCCAAGCATTCCCGATGGTGTAATCATGTACTCTGTGTAGTGACAATAAAGTAATCAAATCTAACCTAATGTCTATAATCATAGGGGTGTCATATACTGTAGATTGTCCTATATTTTTCCAGATTGACAGATTTCCATTCTCCGGCCTCCACCTGCTCTCCGTCCCGTGCTGCCATCCTGACCGGACGCTACGGCCTGAGAAACGGAGTGACTCATAATTTCGCTGTGAGCTCATTGGCCGGCCTGCCTCTCTCTGAAGTCACTCTGCCACAGCTCCTACAGAAAGAGGGATACTACACCGCCATGATCGGGAAGTGGCATCTCGGCCACAATGGACCATACGCTCCAACTAACAGAGGTAAGAGAGAGATTGAAATGTATTCCCCAAAACACCTGAGGAGCCAACTTAAAGTGGACCTATCATGCTATATTTGAATAATATATTGTAGGGCCATAACTATATAAAACATGTTTGTGAAGTTTTTTTTTCAAATTACTAAACAGATCATGCATTTTAGCCATGCCTCATTTCGCTCTATTTGCTGTATTCCAGCCCTGTTTTTGCAAGGGCTGATTCTGAGGCAAATGAGCTGCAGCTGACCACGACCCCTGCAAAGGAGGGGGGCGAGGCACGAGCGTCATGTTACCATGCTGTTACCATGCCACGGCAACCTCTCATTCCCCTGATAGGTGGAGAGTTGCCCATATAGGTGGAGCTCCTTGTTTCTGACGTCAGAGATATTTCAAATCTGTATCAGTCTGTATCAGATCCATTGCAGCCCCGTTTTTAGAGTTTTGGGTATGGAGGAAAAGAGAGAGGGTTGTGTTTTCTGACACTTGGTGAGTTCCCTGACACACCGGGCACACATATTCTTGTATAAAAGACTTACAAAAGTGCATTTTGCATGATAGGTCCCCTTTAAAGCAAATGTCAGATATTTGTTGAAATCAAGGAAATAAAGAAATAAAATAGTACCATATAACAAAATGAGACGTAATGGTGCAAGCAAGTTGCAGGAATAAGAACACAATGGCCCATACACTCCATCTAACATGTATTCCCAAAACCCCTGAGGAACTAACTTAATTTTGTCCGTATCTGGGCGAGCTCAACTGACGATGACGTCATTGTTTTATCAGAAACATGGCTAAACAAATCTATTTTGGCCTCTGACATTGCCTTAAATGGTTTTAATGTGTATCGTACCGACCGGCCTAATAAAGGTGGTGGCGTTGCCATTTATGTTAAAAATAAGTTCAGTGTAACCACATTAGTTTTCAAATCGATCAGTAAGCACCCCTCAGCTGTCAAAGACTCCTTGTCTTCACTAGCAAATCTTTTATCACAACTAGACTACAAGGAAATAGTGCTACTTGGAGATTTTAACTGGGACTGGTTAACTGCAGTGTCAGAGGATTTTAAAAACCTTTGTATCTCTTTAAATGTTACTCAGATTGTTGACAGTCCTACTCGCCCTAACATTAAGTCCCCTAATAAATCCTCCCTAATTGATCTAATTTTAACTAATATTCCCCATAAATATTCATCTGTGGGAGTATTTGCAAATGATCTGAGTGATCACTGTGTTGTAGCCACAATTAGGGACACTAAGGTCCAAAAGGTTAAACCTTGCATTATTATTAAGAGAGACAAAAAACATTTTGTGGAGCAGGGTTTTGTGCATGATCTGTTTGATTTTTATTGGGGTAAAATCGATCTGTGTGCTGATGTAGAAACCGCATGGTCTTATTTTTATCTTGGTTTTATGGAGATCATTGATAGACATGCACCTCTGCGTAAATTTAGAGTAAAGGGACGAGACAATCCTTGGTTTTCTGCTGAACTGTCCAGTCTCCTTCATGAGAGAAACAAGGCCTGGGCAAAGGCTAGGAAATCAGGCTCAGAGGTAGAATGGCTGCGTTTTAGGCAGCTAAGGAATAGCTTCACATCGCAAATCAAAAGTGCTAAATCAAAGTACTATCTGTCAGTAACCACAAAGAATCTGAATAATCCTGGAAAATTTTGGAAAGCCATTAAATCGTTATCCACCGGCGATCTCCGTAATGAGCTACCTCCGTGCATTACCACAGCATCTGGCACTATATCGGACAGGGCTACTATGCTAAATTGCTTTAATGAGCATTTTGTGTCCTGTGGTTCTCTTTTTGATTCTGTCACTAACTCTGCTTCTGTGAACACTACAGTATGTGACTCTGAAAAACGTGTGTTGGAAAACCCTTTTAGTTTTACCCCTTTTACTGTTGATGTTGTTCGTGAAGCTTTAACCAAGTTAGATCCTAAGAAACCGGCCGGCCCGGACAACGTAGAACCTTTCTTTTTAAAGATAGCTGCAGATGTTATTGCTCCACCTCTCACTACTCTTTTTAACCTCTCCCTCAGCACTAACACAATTCCAAAATTGTGGAAGTCAGCGTATGTCCTGCCTTTGCTAAAAGGAGGGGAGGCCACCTTATTAAATAACTATAGGCCAATCTCTAAGTTGTCAGTTCTGGCTAAGGTTCTTGAACGCTTAGTGAGTGAACAGGTAAAGGTGTTTTTATGTAACAATGACATCCTGTCTAAACATCAGTCAGGCTTCAGAAAGCAACACAGCATCATCACTGCCACAATGAAAGTGGTGAATGATGTGGCGAGTATTTTAGATAATAAGCAGAGTTGTGCAGCTCTATTTATTGACCTTTCAAAAGCGTTTGACACCGTCGATCATCGCATTTTAAAGCAGAGGCTAGCCAGTATAGGCATGTCCAGCCATGCAGTAGGGTGGTTTGTGAACTACCTCTCTGAAAGGTCCCAATGTGTTCACTTTGATGGGCTGTCTTCTGAGTGGTTAAACATTGCTAATGGTGTTCCCCAAGGTTCTGTTTTAGGTCCACTTTTATTCTCCATATATATCAACAGTTTAGGTGAAAATGTGGATGAAGCTACTTTACATTTTTATGCTGATGATACCGTGATGTACTGTGCAGGTCCCTCCATTAAGGAGGCTGGTGTTAAATTACAGGATGTTTTTAACATTATTCAGACTCAGCTCTCTGAACTAAAGCTTCTTTTAAATGTTGAGAAAACCAAGGTAATGCTCTTTTCTAAAGCTAAAAAGACACCAGAGCCTGTTTTAGATATTGTAACTACGCAAGGAATAAAACTTGAAGTGGTTACCTGTTACAAATACCTTGGTATCTGGCTTGATGATTGTCTCATTTTTAAACTTCATGTCAATAACCTGCTTAAAAAGCTGAGGGTTAGGCTAGGTTTCTTTTACAGAAATAAGTCCTGTTTTTCGCTTGAGGCCAGGAAAAGGCTAGTCACTGTGACATTTTTACCTGTGCTGGACTATGGTGATTTGATGTATATGAATGCACCTGCCAATTGCCTGGTCAAGTTAGATGCTGCGTATCACAGTGCACTGAGATTTGTGACAAACTGTAAAGCATTAACCCATCACTGTACCCTGTATGCAAGGGCTGGTTTACTTTCACTAACTGTACGGAGGCTCAGTCACTGGTACATTTTTATATACAAAGCCATGTTAGGGAAACTTCCATCTTATATCTGCTCCCTGATCTCACGGAAAATTGTAAGTGGCTACTGCCTGAGATCGAATGCTGTGGTTTTATTAAATGTGCCAACTGCTAGGACTGTCTTAGGGAAGACAGCTTTTAGATGCGCAGCTCCTCTGTCTTGGAATAGTCTGCAAATTAAATGGAAACTGAACAATCTGGTGCCACTAAATGTTTTTAAAGCTCGGTTGGATGCTACTCAATCGGAAGCTATTGGTACCTGTTTATGTGGATAACTATGTAAATGATGCTGTAAGATGTCCTTTTGTTGTTCTATTTATGTTTTTATGTTTCATGTGGAACTACTTGAGCAGGTCTCCCTTGAAAAAGAGATCAATGATCTCAATGGGATTTATCTGTCTAAATAAAGGTTTGAAATGAAATGAATGCAACAAATTAGTCAGGAATTTCAGGATTTTTTTAGTAAATATCTACGCTGATCTTTTTAGCCTGATGCATAACATTTGCACTTCAATAAGACCCAGGACTCCACTGACATATACTGCTAAACCCTCCCATAAACACTTTGATTTAATGGGAGCCAATCCTCATATTCCATACTGTAAATGTATATTTTGCACATTTCGGTTTAGTTGTTACCTCTTTATAACTGCATAGCTCTGCCATTTTGAATTCGGATACAGTGTTTTTGATCATAGTTAAATTTGTTCCTATTTTACAATTTATTTCCTCTGTGTTCATGTCTGCACCATTATATTCATATGAGATAGAAACTGGCCTGCTACAATCCCAAACTGTAGGGAGATAATACATAGAGTAAGGAGTGTAAGGTTAAAACCAAATATAAAAGTACTCAACCGTTGCAGCCTACATTTATGATCTGTAAAACGGCACCATTACTATCTGTAACTGAATAATTGCTGACATGCAACTACACTGAACAGTGGAAGGATTTACATTATTAAAATGCCAAAACATTTGCATTCGCCACATTAATCAACGAGACCGCACGCTCCGTTCCTGTCTCACTCAGCTGTGTCCTTCCAGGTCACTGTTATGGCCTCAGAGAATTTATCTACCCCGCCACATGGAGTGTGTGAGCGATCCCCCGGCCTCGCTGCAGGGAACGCTGCGGTGCCGTCTCAGTCTAAACAGCTGCAGGGATAGTTGTCGTAACTATCCCTGCAGCTGTTTCGACTGAGACGACACCGTCGACTTTTTGCCTACAGCCAGATTTAACAACAACCTTCTACTAATTCCTTTCTTGGGTGAACCATTGCCACCAACTCACCTCCCTTGACCTCACCAACCATAGCCTGAGAATAATTTTTAATTTGTAGGCTTGTGCAACAACAGGTTGATCCACAATTAAGCCGCTTTAGCATCGACTTGCTAAGGACCACGGCAGGATCATTGCTGTAGTGATCCTTAAACACTTGTGGAATGAAGTTCAGCTTGTACAAATTATAAGTAGAGGTAGACTGATTAATTAAATGACCGATACATTTGGGGCAATTAATGCCATTTTAAAGGTCCCCTATAATACTATTTTTCATCAATACATTATAGGTCTCAGATATATAGAAAACATGTCTCTGAAGTGTTTGGCTCCAAACACCAAACGTAATTGCAGCATTACCCATAATCCCCTCTGTTTCAGCCCTGTTTCCAAAGTGCTGATTCTCTGTCTGTTACTTTAGATGAAAATAAGGAGCCCCTCCCCACGCCCCTCTGAGGGACATTTGGTTACAAAGAACACAATGGTGCTCTAGGAGGAGATTCAGGTGATAAGGGGGGGGGGGGGGGGTGGTTACCTTGGTTGCTGATTGGCTAATGGTTACACAAGGCAAAACATCGTTATGACATCATAAAGTGGCCAAAATCTGATCAGCTCATTTTCAGACAGGTTTTTATATAAATGGATCAGGACAAAAAGAGAGAGAATCTTTTTTCCTGAAACTTTCAGAGTCTCTTTCCACAGAGGGGACACATGTTGATGTAGAAGAGACATGAAAAAGTGGATTTTGCATAATAGGTGACCTTTAAAGTGTGAACACTGTCATGTGACTCTGTCCTCTAAAGGTGACGGGTAGTTTCCGTGTCCAGTTGATCCCTTCGCCAAAGAACATGATTATATATGTATTAGAGAGTTACACTGAATTATAAAGATGTGCATATTGTCTATTGTCTCCTTTTCGCAGGTTTTGACTACTACCTGGGCATTCCCTACAGTAATGACATGGGCTGTACTGACATACCTGGATATAATCTGCCTCAGTGTCCTCCCTGTGAGTCTCCTGAACCTCACGTCACCAGGTGTGGCTTTGATCTCAATCACTTGCAAAACCGGTTACCACAACGATAGCGTCATGCACACACACATACGCATGTACCCATTAATCATGTTATTATGCTCCTATGTTTTGTATAGACTGAAGAGGAGTGCACGTGGAGGCTGTTACTCCAAAGTGGGCCTTCCTCTGATTGAAAACAGCAGCATTGTGCAGCAGCCACTGGACCTGTGGACTTTAACAGAGCAATACAAATCTGCTGCTACCAGGATTATACGCAGTGCAAGGTACAACACAGCTGCATCCTAGTGATTTTACATGCATATGTTTCAATTTCTTCATTTGATATTAAAAATCAGCATGTTAGGTGTAACTGTTCATTAGAAAATCAGAAGCCTGTGACCTTTAGTGCATCAGAGACATACAGCAGTAACTAAAGGAACTAAGAGTCAAATTAAATTGTATATTCTGTTTGGACAATCCAACGGACATCTAAGGTACGTAGGTCAACTTTAATGTATTGTAGATGATTAGGTGTTGGCTATTCGGACCCACAATCCTTTGCACAAATGAGTAAAAGCAACTCAATGTAATGTTATGACCATATAGTATACCCTCAAAAACAGAACATTCTTTGTAAGGGCGGCTGCAGAACATACCAAGAGTAAAAAGGAACATAGCCTCAGTGTGTCAAGTGTGTATGAGACTGAAACTCAAATGTGGACGACACTGAGGAACTAAAATGAGTTTTCAAAAAGGGAAGGAAACAGCGACCCAAGCACTCGGCAATAAATGACATACCATTGCCACATGTCTGTAATTGTCACTGTTTGGAACAGCCTGGAGTCTTTTTGCCCATTTGCAGCTGTTATCAGTAAACAGACATGATCATTATGGGGTGATTACCTGAGGACACACTTGGACTTGGGTCCACTTGGGGAAATTAGATAGGAAGAGCAGATGAATCCGCTGCAGCTACTGAAACGTGTTAACACTTGTAATTTTTCATTTTAATGTATTGCATTCCAGAGGCATGAACATTAACGCATGATGGGAAATAATGAAGTGCAGAGAGTTTAATTAGACTTTGATCACCAATCTGTAGGTCTTTCATGTATTTTAACGAGTGAATATGTCATCTAAGAGCAATGATATGGTTCCTTTTTGTTTTATTTTAGAAGATATTAACATTTGATGTACATTTATTCTCATCAAAATGAAGTAAAGCAGAAAGCTTGGGAAATTAAGGACAGTCATCCCTGCTGTTTGCAGCTGTGTGTGTGAGAGTCAATATCTCTGCATGCTAGGGAGCAGGGTCATGTGAATCAGTGCAGCGGTTATCAGTCATGTGACCTAACGGTGACTGGCTTTCATTCAGTGAACGTACAGAAACCCACCTTCCTGCAAAGCAAAAGGAAATTGCATCATGGACATGTTCAAGTTTGCATATCAGTGCACTTTGAACAGGATTAAATCCACAAAATAAACCAAAGCTCATTTTTTTTTTACCAGTGTTTACCTTTAAATCCATCAGAACACACAAAGTAGTTCAACCACATTGAAAATGTTGTGTTCAAAATGTCAGTATTGTTTGTTTGATTAGCAAACTTTTAGGATATCACTATTGCAATAAGGCTTTACACTAACTTGTTAATTTCTTCTAGAAAACGCACCAACGCATGTGCTTGTTCGCGTTCCAGCTCTGACTGCAACAGCAATATTAAAAAGTATATGTAATGTATTTATTTTGAGGTTTAAAGGAAAAGCATACAGTAGGTGTACCACTAACATCGTCGTTTCTCAAGTATAAATGTGACAAAGCAATTGGTATTATGAGTTTCACCCATGCTAATTTGCTAAAGTCAAAATGTTTGAAAGAAATCTGCACTGTTGGGAGAGAAGTGATGTCTGTTTTAAACCAGTGTGTGATACTTTGTCATCTGTATGAGTTGTTTGACACTACAACGTTATTGTCTCTGCAGGGAGCGAGGGCAGCCCTACCTCCTCTACCTAGCGTTGGCTCACATGCACGTGCCCCTCGCCCCCCCTCTCCACTCAGATGAGGGCAGAGTTTACGCTGCCAGCCTGCAGGAGATGGACCGCCTGGTGGGGGCGGTGAAGAGCGCCTCCGACCACACGGACAGAGACAACACACTCATCTGGTTCACTGGTAAATATACTGGATAGACTGAAGTGTTATTTAGGGCTGCACGATTTGGGGAAATAATCGAATTGCGATTTTTCTGACAGATATTGCGATTCAATTTGCGATATTTGTTTTTAAGCGACCCAACGGAAGTTTATTGTAAAATGCGGCCATATCTCCAGCTAGGAAGGTCGCATCAACATGCTCCCGTCTCTAGCACCCCCGCAGCCCGAGCTACGAGTGAAATAACTAAACTTACATTAAACTTCCGTTGGGTTGCTTTAAAGTCGAGCTTCAGTTTAAGATTCACCCTGTAATAGATGTAAAACATATGATGGAGCATTACTAACCTGACTCAGATGGTTTGTTTCACCAAACCATCTAGGAAAGCTCCATTGGAAGTCATTTGGAAAATTATTTCAAAAATACTTGGCAGGTGATTGGATTAATCTGTCTATCACCTTCTATCACGGGCCACTTCTACATGTGGAGCACAGCACTTCTGATTGGTGGGGATGACTGACACACAGGAAGTAAAACAAATCGCAGGCTTTGCGATTTGATAATTGCATCATTTAAAAGCACGATTTCGATTTCAAATCGATTCATCGTTCAGCCCTAGTGTTATTCTCGAAAAGCCATGATGAGGTTAATCTTTGTGCTTTTTTTCCAGGTGACAACGGTCCATGGGAACAGAAGTGCCAGTATGCAGGAAGTGTTGGACCCTTTATGGGAAAATGGCAGACCAGCAGAGGTATTAAATATGCTTTATGAGGAGGGATCCATGTGTTCAATACTACATAGTAACAGGTGTGTGTTTTATTGAAAGTAAGCCTCATTCCTAAAGTCCTCTTCTGCCTGTGTTAGGTGGAGGCTCGGCTAAGCGGACCACCTGGGAGGGGGGTCACAGAGTGCCGACTGTGGCCTATTGGCCCGGAAGGATCCCTGCAAATACCAGCAGCTCCGCCCTGCTCAGGTACTCACATTTTACAAATAAGCAGAGACTTGAAATCCTTCAAGTAGTTCAACATATCTTATATACACCCTATGTGTACATAAAGACCCAGGTGTGATGGGCCCAACCCTGTTTGTACTAGGTCAAAAAGCAGGGGATGGTAATGTCATTCCTACACTTTGGACCAGAGAAAAAAGCCAATAGCTGCTGCATGTTTGGCTTTTATTCAAATATGAATTCGTTTTTGGTGTGCTTGTCTCAGGGGGGGACACAGAGATTGTGAAATTATTTGAAATTAGTCAAAATAACCATCTCTCGTATATTCTGATGCAGGGAGTGGGTCTGTCTTGCAGGTTAGCATGTAAACATGTCACTGAAGAGGCACATAATACAAATGTAAACCTGATAATTAGCAGAATAGAGCCTTTTTAACAGTCCTCTTTACGTCCTGCTGCAGCGGTATGGATGTCTTCCCCACCCTTCTGTCCCTGGCAGGAGTCACTCCCCCCTCAGACCGACGTTACGACGGCATCGACGCCACTGATGTCCTGCTGCACGGGGAACAGACTGGTCATGAGGTACTTAACAGCTTTCGTTATACGTTCTTTTTTGTTTTATATACATCATTTCCCTGTGTATTGTGAGTGTTAGTCTTGCATTATGTTCTCATTGCAACCTTCTCTTCTGCCTTGTAGTTTCTCTTCCACCCTAACAGTGGAGCAGCGGGGGAGTTTGGTGACCTGCAGACTGTTCGATCAGGGAAGCACAAAGCTTTCTACATCACAGGTACGGGTCACACACAGGTCATATGTGTCTACAAAGCAAAAGCAGTTGTATAACATTGCATTGTTATTGTGTGTATGTCTGCAGTGGTGCTTGCTTTGCTCTGCCATGGTGGATGCTTTGTCAACATGGTGGTATCAGTGTATTGGCATGTCTGTATTTGTATGAGTATAAATCAAAACACTTTTTATGAGCAGATGAATTCTCATATCAGCATCATGCTCCATCAACTCAAAACAAGTGCTAATTTGAGGTGCTTCACTTGAGTCCTTTTCTTTTTATGCAGCCTTTGACTTACTACTTATCTCTTTGATTTTGTGACATTTTAGGTGAACTAAAATAAAATATAATTAAATGCAAATTAAAGTTAAAATAAAATGTCCAATAAAAGATAATATCAAATAAAAAACAAGTATATAAATATAAGAATTTTAAGTGAAATGCCCAATAAAAGGTCAAATTAAAAATTACAATCCAATAAAATATATTATTAAATAAAATAACAAAACCAATATATATATATCAACATATCAAGCTAAAGTTAAATGTCTTCCTTAAGAAAATATAAACTAAAATGTTCAGTAAAAAATAAAATAGAATACAACAAATAAAAGAGATATAAACTAGTTACATGTAAAGGCACTGAATGCTTCCTCCCCCAGTAGTAATAAGAAACCCACTCATCCTTGCTTGTTGCAGGTGCAGCTGAGGCGTGTGGGGGGGCCACAGGACGAGAGCAGCTCCACGACCCGCCCCTGATATTTGATCTTGAGGTTGACGGGTCTGAGGAAACGCCTCTGGATACAGAAACACTGGAGTACCAGGCGGTGGCGCAGAGGATGGCCCGCAGGAGGGAGGAGCTTCTGTGGGACATCGCCAACGACAAGTCAGTGTCCGCAGCCGACTACAGCACCGACGCATCAGCAGCACCCTGCTGTGACCCTGAACACACCGTCTGCCGCTGTGACCCTGAACACACCGCCTGCCACTGTGACCCTGAACACACCGTCTGCCACACACTCAGCTGAGGGGGGAGAGTTTTATCTGACACAGGATTTAAATCTTAAAGAGGCCCTAGTTAGCTTTTTTGGGGTTTTCCCTTTCCTGTAGTGTGTTATATAGGTTTGTGTGCATGTTAACGGTCTGCAAAGTCTGAAATAAGTCCATCAAGAGGGAGTTTCTCTCCCACACACTTCCCCCCCACCTGAAAACGCCTCCATTGGACTCATTTGTTTATTTCCAGGACATGCTGACGTCACTATGTAACACTGTGCTTCTATTGGCTAGTGCTCCAACACATCGTACATGATAGGCTAAGGGGCGGGACATCTCAAAGCAGTTGACTTATCAAAACAGCGCCAGCCAGCGAACCAATCAGAGCAAACTGGGCTCTGGTTTCAGACGGAGGGTGAAAAGAGGAGCTGCATGCACAGGCAGGATGAGAAAAATAAAGAGCTTTTTGAACATGTCACAGTAGAGACACTAAATACAAATATGAACCTGCATTTTAGCCTTTGCAGACCATTTACATGCACAAAAACCTATATCACAACAGGAAAGGGGAAACTCAAAAAAGCATAATAGTTGAGTTTGGGGAAACCACTCACCACACAATAGGCTTAAAGAGAAGCACACAGACATGTGATCAGCTGTTTGTTTGCAGAAGTGTTTTTTTAGGAGGTTCGATGTCCACATGCAAGAGGACATGTTCAAACAAGCAGAGCAAAGATCAGGCCGTTTCTCAATGTCGAGTAAACCTAAGTATAGGTCAAGTATACTACGTCATCGAGTGGTGCCGAAGGACTGTTTAAATGCATGTTAAATGCCCAGCATTCGGCGCCACTCGATGACGTAGTATACTTGAAATAGTGGCTCTGCAGCAGGTGTACTCGACATTGAGAAACGGCCACAGTTTATCATGCGGTCAATAACTTGGGAAAAATAAGATTAATCAAACAGTAAAGACAAACCAGCAATGTGTAAATCATTTCGTTTCAGTGTAATGTGTTAATTAAACTTTGCTTTATTTGTGAGATTTTATACAAGATTTAAACACCAGCTACATAAATGATGATATTTAAAAAAATAAAAGAACAAAACAAAATGCAGAGGTTGAATCTTTTCTCCGCTTTAATGAGTCTCTCTTTCTCCTCAAACGTCCAGTATTGAACAGACGGGTGTCCTAACAGCGCCACCTTTTGGCAAATCAATTGGTGTTACTTATTACAACAGAACTATATATAAATGTTATATATACATTATACACAGTAAAAATCCTCAATAGATATTCACGCATGGTACGTCTATGCGTGGATGTACATGTAATACATTTTGCAAAAGAATATTTCATAAATCAAAGTAAAAATGACTTGTTAACTTAATGTAGTCAGCATAATGTAGTAAATAAAAAAAGGTCTTCAGGATATCACTGAAATTCAAGGACCTGTAACGCCACCATCAGGCGGCTGCTCCACATTTATTATCAGGTGTTTATTCTCATCTATCGCTACCATAATTAGCATGACAGCTGCATCTGCAAGTCATATAATACTTCTTGCATGTATCATGATTTGAATAGTGTATCACACTTTCAAAATCTCTTCCTTCTTGAGTAACCTCCTCTTTACGGAGGAGTGACACCTCGAATGCCCTTGATAAACTCCCAGATTCCTGATTAACAAAAATGCCCTTAAGGTTGATTCTCAGAGGCTTTTTTAAAGGATGAATAAGTGACAGAAAACAAGACATTATCTTAAGAGAGTTGACACATTTTATATTATATTTGTATGACTGCTCTTGGTTTGTTTAGAAGCTGTTAAAAAGTTATCTTTTCACTGACTGAGCTTTATAGAGAATCAGTTGATCAGCTTCAAGGATCTCTGCTACCTTCAGTCTGCTCATTAACACATCAACAAATAAAATGTTCATCTGATTGCTAACATGGTATTATTTGTTGACAATGACGTCAGTGTTTTTAGGTTTTGGAATATTAAACCAAAAAGCTGTTAATGGAGTAATACGGGAGTTAAAAGCGGAGCAGTCTTTGAACTCGTCTCACATGTTGTAAATGTGTTTTAATGAGAGGTGGAGCTTCTACACTTTGTTTTTAATCTATACTCCTTACAAAACATGATAGAGGAACAGAGTACAGAAACACCAGGAAGTAACATTCTGACAAGAGGTGACCCTAGGCCAGCAGGGGTACATGTGAGAGGGAGGGGGGTGCCACAATGTCTCCACACAGGAATATTTCTCCTCTGCGTGAAACTGAAGTCTGATTGTTATGTTTCATGAGGGTTTGGTCAGTTACTCTGGTTGCCGACTGGAGGGAACTCGTTCTCGTCGTCCAAGCAGACGGGGCTCTCGGCGAACTCGTGCTCCGGGATAACGTCACCTGTCTGGGCTCCACCTTCCTCAGAGTAACCTGGGGAGAGAGGGAAGAGGAGGTTTGTGTAGGCCCTTTTTCATCAACTGTGTCGTGTTTTTGAAAGAATTGCATCTCCTGCTGTCAGAGCTGGGATGTTAGGTTCTATTATCGACTTTATAGGTGCTATAGGTGATTCAGAGTTGATTATTATATTTTTAAGTGTGAATATGGACAATTGTTAACATTGTCTTCTTCTTCCAACCTTAATTTATAATCCAATAAATAATTGGTTATTATTTATACTAGGGAAAAACCTGGATCATGATTTTTGTGTAGCAAAATGCATTTACAGCAATCACAGGGTATATGCAGGAATCCTGAAGTCAAATGTAAAACCTTTTAAGACCTTCTTTAAGACCCTTTCCATACATTTTAAGACCTCATCGCCACTTTGAGTTTTAACCGGTTACATTGGCGACACACTTTACCTCACATTGACTATATACAGTATTGATTGTCCTTCCTCCTTATCTTCCAACCATTTGGACGCAGACTTGCATTTCCCCATAACGATGTTGTTTAACAACCGGCGTAAACGGACCTTCGCGCGCTATCAAGCAGTGAGCGTGCGAGGTCCTGTTCAGATGACGTCAAACCCAACGGGATGCCATAAATAAACTACACAGAATCACACTACACACCTACGCAATGATTACATTCAGGCAGACTGTAGAATACAACCTCTTTGGACAATTTATATACTTATTGAAAACAAGCTACAAAATGTAATTTGGAAAGTGCTGTTACTAAAAATACTTTTTAATAGCCTTCATTTTCGCTAAATTGATTATCAACTTTTAATACTTTTTAAGACCCCGCGGACCCCCTGAAGCAGCTAGGCTAAAAAATAGCATATATTACTTGATAGAAATAAAGCAATTATTTTTGAAAAAACACTAAAATAATAGAAGTATACTGAACCTGAATAAAATGTTATTTACATAACATCTGCCTGATTTAGGAGAAGTTATTGAAGAGTGAAATGAGATACAAGCTCATTTTAAGAAAACCTCTTGTCGAAATAACCCTAGATCACTTTTAGGATTGAATAACTTTAGCAAAACAGCTTTATGTTTAAAACAGGTTTTCAGGTGTTGTCAAACAAGTTAAACACACAGAATATAAGAGATACAATAATGTGAATCACTCACAGTATGGTATATAGGGAGTAACACAGTTTTGAGTTTATGATAAGTATACTGTACCCATGAGAGTGGTGGAGGAGGGCGGGGTTGAAGGGAGAGCCACAGTGGCAGCATATGATTGGCTGGTTGGTGGTGGAGAACCGTCCTCTGGATCCTCCTCTTCCTTCTCCTCTACCTGCTCCTCACCGGACTCAAACAGCCTGCAGCAGCAGAGCACACAGAGACTTTGAAACACACAACTCACTTCGACATAAGCACAAATTAATGCCACATTTTAAAGCTGAAATAATGAGTCCTAAAAGCTCGAATTAGTTAGCATTTGAGCTCTTTTTCCCCCCTTGTTTCAATTCAATCGTTTTTTGAATGGGTTTCTGGTTAGACCCTTAGAAAAATGGCCTGTTTAAGTTTAAGAGAAATTGTATTGTTCTACTACATAAAACATATCAGTGAACACCCCACGGTTGGATTTCTGAAGCCTCTATGTGCCTAAAATGTTGGCTGCTAACAAATGGCTAAATTATTTTAGTAAACATCATGCCTAACATTAGCCGCCTTTAGCTTAGCGGTGTTGACGTGCAGTCATGTGACCTTGATGTTTTTCCTTTATAGCCTAATGTTAGCTTTTTACTTCTGGCAATAGCATTTGTGCTTCAGAAATTATAAAAGTGGCGTTAATATGTGGAGATTTCTTGCTGAACAAAACGTTTGAGTATCATAAATATGTTTGTTACAGATCTTATTTCCTGCAATATTACTGCTTTGTTGAGGGAGCCTTTGCGATGCTAACTTCTAGGTCTATCTACAAAAATCCAACATCCGTGCACAACTCAATATTTGTTACATCTAGACATTTATGCAGGATGCTTCCCACTAAGACACACACCTGTGTTTTTGGACCAGAACACACTCTCCTCCATCCTGTGGATCCACATTATAGATGTAGAGACACCCGTCTGAGGACGCCACCAGCAGGCGGGGGAGCTTCTGAATCCTGACAAACAAAACAAGCACAAGATGTTAAAGACTTATAAATACATCTGTCAAAAAATCATCTCTCTGGTCGGACTTTGGACTCACGTAGCCAGGGCGCAGATGTTCTTCAGGCCGAACATGTTGAGGCGCACCGTGGCGAAGGCTCGGTCCTGATGCATCATGTCGGACACCTGGGAGGGCAGGTAGGTGCTGGCTGCTGAGAACATTTTACCCATGTAGGTTGACCATGTGGGGGACTCCTCATCTTGACTGGCAGGAAACAACATGGGTCATGGTTGAAGAGAGAATTGGAGGATAACAGTACAGCACACACAGCGAAATGTGACCTCTGCATTTAACCCATCCTAGCACTGGGAGCATAGCAGAGGGTCATTTCATGCATTGTCCTTCTGTGAACCATGCAAGGGTCAGAGAAGGACAATGTATGGGAAGCAGACTCCTTATACAGAGAGATACATGGGTAATATGCTTTGAAAAAAGGAAATACATTATGTTTACAAGGGATACATTTAACCAGGGATCCAAAATAATACATTTTAATTTGGTTTTTAATGAAAGTACCAGAAACACTAACATTGTAACGTAGCTGGTTAGTCAGGTAATTAGTATACAGAAAACAAGCAGAAACACAACTGTGTGTGTGTTAGTGTGTATGTGTGTGTGTGTGTGTGTGTGTGTGTGTGTGTGTGGTCTAGCATTACTATACTTGTGGGGACCTAAATCTGTTTACATAGTCACGTGTGGGGACTGGCTTCCCTTATGGGGACAAATTGGAGGTCCCCATGAGGGGAATCATTCATTTTAGGGTGAGACTTGGTTAGGTTAAGGGTTAGGGTAAGGTTAAGGGTTAGGGTAAGGGTTAGGCATGTGTTGGTTATGGTTAAGGTTAGGATAAGTCTCCAGGAAATGCATGTAAGTCAATGTAACGTCCCCTGAAGTGATTTATACATGGTGTGTGTGTGTGTGTGTGTGTGTGGTGTGTGTGTGTGTGTGTGTGTGTGTGTGTGTGTGTGTGTGTGTGTGTGTGTGTGGTGTGTGTGTGTGTGTGTGTGTGTGTGTGTGTGTGTGTGTGTGTGTGTGTGTGTGTGTGTGTGTGTGTGTGTGTGTGTGTGTGTGTGTGTGTGTGTGTGTGTGTGTGTGTGTGTGTGTGTGTACCTGGGGCTGTGCTGCTCCAGTTTAAATATATGGACGGTCTCAGTGTTACTGGAGGCGCACAGGAACTGGGCGTCTGCGCTGAAGGATAATGAGCTGATGCTAACATATCTGAGACAGAAAACAACAAAACAGTTAGGAATAAATGCACATTTTAGATTTGAAAATAAATGCACATAGTGTCTGTGTGTAAGCCCATAACGACCATATTCAGCCCGTATGTAGACTTTTGTCCATGTTTTTTAGATTAAAACATGATAATCAAGTTGCAGGAGACAACCATACAGTTATCACTTTACATTACTTAGCATTAATGATACCAAAGATAATATTGTTTGCGTGCAAATACTATATGATGGTAAACAAAAAACGAAACGTAGTATGCAAAGTATGCAGGTTGCACGAAGTGAAGATTTAAAAATGAAAGTTGAACTGATGAGTGATAGGAGGCCGTTTAGACTGCAGTACTTCCTGTCACAAGCCCTTTGTTTAATCCCTGGCACACAACAACCATGAACCATCTCGTCCCTAATTTGCTTATTAAGATTTGATGGTACGATATGAAAATATAAATGCTAACCTTTTCATCCCTCGGCGAAATTCAAACAGTCTCTGTCCCTCAGGAACGCTGAAGACTCTGATAACGGTGCCCTGTGGAGGAGAGCGTGGTCAGAAAAGAGGATTGTGGGTAATAAGACTGAGCGTTAGAAAAATAATGCTCACCTTTTCTGAAGCGCTGGCCAGTTTGCTGCCGGAGGAATTGAAGGCGAGGGCCGCCAGGGGACTGTCGTGGGCTTGGATCAGGGTCAAAGTGCTCTAAAGGGGTAAATGTGTGTTTTTTTTAATACATTTTTTCTTTTTTTACATTTTGTCTACAACATAACAGGATGGGCGTTAGAATATCACTTACATAAAAATAATAAAAAAAATAATAAAACTACTTTAACAACTTTAAAAAAGGAAATAAACAAAAAAAAGGAAATACAAAAAAAAAAGAATTCATACAAATAATAAACATTAAGTGGCAAAATATACTATTATATATATAAAAAAATGTTGTACATACTTTGAATTGAATTGAGATTTCGAGTTAGATTATATGTTTAAATGAATCAGCACCAACACTTCACTGATGTCCACACGGGGTTATCAAAATAAGTTGAATCAGCTGCATTTTCTCCTTTGTTGCTTTGTTTAATATCAATGTGTCCTCACCAGGTTGTTGGCATCGTACACGGTGATCTCTCCGATGGTGGCGCTGCCGGGGTACGCCAGGTAGGAGTTACTGTGGTTAACAGAGAGAGCGCAGAGACCTGCAGGGGACAACAGAGGGGGATTTAGGCCATTTACCCTCCAATCTTTTCCTTGTCGTTACTCTTATACATACATATTTGATCAATAATTGCCCTTCCCTTTACCATATCTAAAAATGTAAATGAAATGTAGGTCAGAGTCTAAGAAAAAGTCTTATTTTGACAATATATGTCTGTACAACAGCATGAGTGTACCTGTGAGGTTGGTGGGGGTGTTCAGCAGGGTCTTGAGTAGCTTCATGTCTTTGATATTGTGGATGTAAACCGACTCCTCCAGGCACACCACCAGCCTCTGAGATAATGGACACAAACAAATAGATCTCCAAATATAACATGTATTGAAAGGACAAACAAGAATCAACAGCTTTGAGGATTACAGGTCCAGAATCATCCATTTCCTGTCCTCACCTGTCTGTTGAGCCTGACGGAGAGGATGTCGTTGGAGTAGCTGTAGTTACAGATCTCTGTGCCCTTCTTAAAGTGGTAGACGTTCATCCGGCGGGGCATGGACAGACTGACCACCACCACCAGGCTGCTGGAGAACAGCCGCTCCACGATGTACACGTCTGGACACTCTACTGGGAGAGGGACGAGAGGGAGACCTTGGACATGGATTGCATATCACATCTCTGGTCAGTGAAGGCAAATACACAATCTTATGTCGTCAATTCCTATATAACTTCCTCCATGTTCTTTACAAATGACTGTGGATCTACTTCTCTCATGCTTCGCGACCAACAAAAGGGACCCTTCACCCTTAAAATACATACAAAATACAAATGTCTCATCAAACCCTGTAGGGATCAGTATTGATTGTTTTGGTGTGAGTTGCATAGTGCTAGAGACATAGGCAATCGAAATGTCTGCCTTCTCTTCAATATAATGGAACTAGATGGCACTCGGCTTTTAGTGTCTTAAAGCAGCAAAAATAATTTAAAAAACGAAACAGCAATGTCTCTTTCTAGAAATCATGACCTGATTACTCAAGATTAAACACAGACTTGGTTGTGAGCATGTAGGAACTACTTTATTTCTAACAAACTACATCCGCCTACTGTATCACTGCCCAGACGGAATCTATTCAGGAACAAGAGGGTTACAACAAAAAACCACTAACAACAAAACAAACTAGTTTGATAAATGGTATCCATGTTAATTGTACGGTGAACTGTCCCTTTAAGAGAAACTGTCAGTCCCCAGACAATGACAGCATTATTGTGCCTGAACTTCCTCAAAGATGACACCAAACGTTTTCTCTTTGTTGTTGCTTTAAAGAGTGGCACATTGAGCGTTCCTGTGTTTGCCCTCTGCATGCAGAACAGCAAACATGATGGGGCATGTTGTATGATCAAGGTGAACCTGACCACAGCTCAGATATTTCTGTGTGGACTGCCATTACTCATCAGTGTGACACTTTAGGGAGGGGAGCCTGAATTATAACTGTTGTGAATATGTCACACATGTTCCAAGTCACTAGAGGTTAACAGAGTACACATCTTTAACTAAAAGGCATCACTTGAAAAAATCCCTAGTTTACTTTCATAAAGATAATTGGGTTTTGTGTGACAAGTTTTCTAAAATGTTATGTTTAAATATGCAAAACAGACATTATTTAATGCATACTTTTGGGTAATTTGTGAGACACAAATAGACGAGACTTTCAAAAATGTGAAAGGATTCCCAAATTGGGATCAATAAAGTACATGTTATCTTTCTTCCCATAACTCTGAAAGAAAACATATTATAGAAGCACAATAGACCAAACTCTCGACAATAGCATTAAAGCACAATGTCCATCTTACCTCCTTCATGGATGCAGTCCAGTTTGTCCACAGCGGTGACGGAGAACAGCCGGTAGCCGGTCTTTGTGCCCACTGACAGAGAACTACAAGAAGAAGGAAAGAAAACAAAGACCATATTACCAGCCACATCCACTATTGTTAAAGGTTAAAAAATACATTAAAATACTGTAGGTAAATTATAGTCCTCAATTAAACTTGTCACATGAAATCTGGTTATTTTTGCAGTAACACACACAGTTACAACATTTGATGTAGACATTTTGATACATAAAGTCTATCCTTGTCGGAGTAAAATAATCCTAGAAAACCTTTTGTATTTGTTTGGTATTACTAGAAAAGATTAGGGATTGGATTTGGTCAGAAAGAAGGAAGGAATAGGATTAACCATGCATAAACAAACACACACACACACACACACACACACACACACACACACACACACACACACACACACACACACACACACAAACACTAGTGTAGAACTGCACAAAAATGGGGTAAAATCTATGTAATGGCTGCTTTCTGCCATTGGCTTCACCTCTGTTAGTTTCCATTAAGGTAGTGCAGGATCACTCTGATCATTATAACCTCATGTCATATCTCATAACGGTCAGTTTGTCCCATGATTTTCTATCACACTATCTTATCTTGTTTAGAGAGCACAGCCATTAACACAGCAGCTTCCATTGAAATTAGTTAATCCCCCTCTCTAAAGGAAGCTCGCCTTATCTTGTCATGGCTGAAGTTGAAAAGAACATGATGACTAGGAGATATAAACGCCAGGTTGACTGTTTGGCCATCTGGTTAGTTTTACAATCATCGCCACAGCAGATGTTGTTTTAAGCTGACACACCTGTGTTCTGCTGGATCTGTTATCCTAGTTAATAGAGCCTGACAGTGAGCCTCTGCAATGCAGGTGTGAGTGATCAAAAATATTTAAAAATACATGACACAGGAACATCTGATTTCCAGCTACTTCCTATAGCATTGCTGAGAAAACCAGTTTATTAATTCCTGCATTTTACTTTCACCTTAACATCTTTTGTATTTTGTTATTGCACTATTTTACTACATCTGCGCTACGATACAACTAATGTGTAATTATTTTACATGTCTTAATTTTACTGTTGCATTGTTGAAGGAGCCGGGGACATAAGATTTGTATTGCCAACAATTACCTTGTGGCTGTTATACATATGACAATAACGCCTTTGAATATTTTAACCACTTTCTAAGAATGTAATATGGTATGTTAACTGGTGTCATAAATCAAGGAGGTAAGCAAAGACAATACAATAGACAATAGAGAATATGCATATTTACATTAAGCTGTGTCTTATTGCACAATAGTTTGGTTACTAAGTGTCTAAATGTGCAGCAGGCTTTGTAGATTAACACATTTGCCCATTTCAGTCTAGCTGCTAAGGACTAATATACGTTTAAATGAAAAACACAGAAGCCTGTACATTTGAGCCCCTCACACACAGCTGCTTGCTTTCTAGGTGACAGGAAATAAACCAGACCCTGTGAATGACACATACATACATATGTAACAGTCAGGTTTGATTGAGACATAATATAATATGTCTATTTTCACTCAATGGTGTTAAACTGTGTCTTATTACACAATAGTTTGGTTACTAAGTGTCTAAATGTGCACTTCAGTTTAGCTGCTAAGGACTAATCTACAAGTTTAAATAAAAAACACAGAAGCATGTAGATACATTTGAGCCCCACACACACAGCTGCATGCTTTCTAGGTGACAGGAAATAAACCAGACCATGTAAATGAGACTGTAAATAATTATGCAACAATCAGGTGCATGGAGGAGATTGAGTTCATGCTGGGCCCGCAGGTCGCTTACGTGGTGTCCTGGTTGAAGGAGGCACAGATGAAGGCTCGCTGCTCCTCCAAGCCGTCCGGAGCGTCCTGGGACTCCTGGGGCTCCATGGCAGCCGCCGGATCGCTTCTCCTCTCACTGGCCGAGGTCGGAGGCCTTGGGCTCGGGTCGATCCCCGCCGGAACCCGCTTCCCCTCCTCAGCCCCCCGACTCCAAACGCCACGATCACACTCTTCGGGGGGGAGGAATGTGCGGGCTGTTTGTCTCAAATAACCCGCATCATACACCGAGTGAACTGTCTAAAGAGGATAAAAGATAGACAATAACACCTCATCAGTGACCTCTTTCACTTGAGTCAGTCGAGACTGTTGTTATAATGTTATTAACTTACATTATTCACACAGCAAAACAAAAACAGCTGATGGGAGGATGCGTCACTCTAACGCGCATCCCTATTGGCTGGTGACAACATGTAAATCTTTTTTCCGGCGGTTCTATTGGTCAAGATGTTTAAAGCCTCCCGTTGATTTGATAGTATTTCTGTCAATCACGTAAGACCCGCCTATTTAAAAGACTAAACGGTTGATTGGCCAATTATGCTTTCAGTCTTGTCACGAGGAATTGTTTTGATGATTTCATTGGATGAGAGACGATCAAGCTTTTTCTGCCCTGAAAAACTGTTAAACAAAGCTATTATAGATTTTTTTTGTTGACAATTATGTTAGTTTTAGTTTGTCTACCTAAGCTTGGCTTTACATAGATGTATTTGTTTATTTATTTTAACCTTTATGTTTACAAAATGTACACCATTAAACCATGCATTAAACCCATATCCAGATGTTGAATACTGAAACACTATCCTTACAATTGTATATATCTTTTAGACCACAGACGGTAAATGTAAATAGGACTGAGACAACTTGTATTCATTCAGAAATAATACTATTATATTTAATATAATGCAAACATTGGTCATATTTCTGCATAATGAGTAGCCTAGCTTTACTTTGTATAGTTCAAATCCATGTGTACACAGACAAGTACTCAGATCTTGTACTTGAGTAAAAGTAGAAATACCAGAGTGTAGGAATACTCTGTTACAACTAAAGTCTGACTCTGTTGATTATATTTCCCATCAAAATCTGTAAAGTAACTAAAGGTATTAAATACATTTAGTGGAGTAAAAGTACACTATAAACCTCTGTATTGTAGTGGAGTAGAAGTACAAAGTAGCAAAACATTTAATTACTCAAGTAAAGTGCAAATACCTCCAAAGTGTCCTTAAGTACAGTAGGCCTACTTGAGTAAATAGTTACTTTGCACGTCACCACTGTGTGTACAAAAACATCATGTTGTAATAGACAGACGTTCAAGCACACTGCAGTGAACCAGGATGTCTTAATACAGAAAACACAGATTCCTGTTATCAGGCACATTTTGAATCAGATATAAATCGATTTCTTTCTTTTCTTTTTTTTTGTTTTGTTTCTAAACTATTTCCTTGACGTCACGATTTCCGTGCGGGCTCCTTTAAGGTTGCCAGGGGTTACGGGCTCACATGTCAGAACGAGGAGAATTGACGTCAGTGACGGCCGCTGATTGGTTCTCAGCCGTATCCGGTGGGGCAGCGGTCCAGGGCTCGGGAAAAAAATCGAAGCGAGGAGGATCTGGTAACGGTTCGCTTCGAAAAAAATCATCCATCCCGAGTCGCTATCGAAGGGCTCGGCAGGAATTTTACAGTTTCTTGTGAGTATTTGCCTTTCTTTCCCGTTCGCGGATCATATGACCTCTGCATAGGTGAAATTTGTTTCCTCCGTCTCTCGTTTGTTTATGATAGAACTCAAGATGGCGTCATTGGAGGAGAGCTTTGCCTTTGCACGGAGCTACTAGCCAGCTAGGCTCAAACTACACACACTCTCCCACACAACGTAGGCCAAAGACAGCTAAGAAAACCTACAAAGACATGTATTATTTCTTTAATGTGTTGCTAAATTGTTATTATAATTGGGTAGCTGTTCAGCATCAGTCTGCTAGCTGTTTCTTGGCTGCAGCCTCCTTATGAAGCCACCCTGACCTAGACGGTGTTACAGACAAGGCATTTGCTTCACACTGTCCTCAAAGGCGAGAACATTTGCTAAATTAGTTAAACCATTATATTGCGTTGGTATCCTCCATCCCCCCAGCATACCTCGTTGTCACCCGATCAGCAAGGTCATTTGTGCATCGCAGTGTTTTCTCTAATATAATTGACAGCTCTCTTCTTAGTTGACAGCAGAGGGGAGGCTGCAGGTTAGCAACTGAATTAGAGAATTAAAATGTTAAATGTACAATTTTACTACCCTAAAATATGTCAAACTAAATTGGATTTACGTATAATTTAATGCAGGAAAGCCCAGCTGTTGGCTCTTGGCTCTTAATGTATCCCATTTGGTTTGAAAGCAGTATCATTGGTCCCTTAGTTATTCCTTTTGGTAGGTTAGGATTAAAGCAAGCTTTTAAAGTTTCCACTATTTGGTTAGTTGCATAAAGAGCCAGCTCTCATCTTTGATAACATGGCTAGTAAATCCTCTGGGCCTGGCCTGATTTAGAAATGATCCGAATCCTATTATACTGATGCAAATGCATGATACACTTGGTCTTTTTGTTCACCCTTCTCAAATGTTGGTTACATGAGGCCTTCCTGTTTTAGACAGCTAGATCAAGCTCTGAGCTATCTGAAGAAGCTTATATCACTGAGGCCAATCACATGATCTGGGATCTGTCAGGCTATTTGGCTCAGCAGCAGTACTGTGGCCTGAAATGAAGAAACCTCAAGCAAAGTGCACTTTATTTTCTGGGTTTGGTCTGTTTCACAGTGGATTGATTCACTGGCCTTTTTTTCCACCATCTAAATTAAGGCCTTGTGTGTGACACTCATATAGAGGGCTTCTTTCAGGCCTAGTGGAGAAGTACAATTGTTTTGAGTAAATAAACCAAGTGCAGCCTGTCCTAGTTTTTCGTCTGTGGTCAGATATGTGTGATCACATCATATGACCAGTTTTCTCTCCTGACACTAAGAAGCACTCAGGCTCCTTAGTGCAAAAACAACACCCCATCTCTCAGCGCTTTCTCACTCTGGTTCTATTTTTCTCACATTCTCACGTTTTCTGTCCGTCCATTTTCTCATCACGGTCACCCCTACTCTTCTTGTGCCGCTCTCTGACTAATCCAGTAAATCCACTTTGTACAGTAATGATCTGAAATCGGGCTCCTGTGTTCCTGTTACTGTCTCCAGTACAAAGGTTAGAGGTCACAGAGCAGGGTTGCGGTTGTCGTCATGGCATCTGGAAGTACGAGCAGCGAGGAGGAGCGGAGCCTGAGGGAGTGTGAGCAGTACGTGCAAAAACACAACATTCAACAGCTGCTGAAGGACTGCATTGTCCAGCTGTGCACCTCCAGGCCGGACAGGCCCATGGCCTTCCTCAGGGAGTACTTCGAGAGGCTGGAGAAGGTTTGTGTGTGTGTTTGTGTTGTAAAGTAACTGAGTACATTTACTCGAGTACTGTACTTAAGTACAATTTTGAGAGACTTGTACTTGTGTATATACATTTTTGCTACCCTTCTACTTTTACCCCACTACAGTTCACAGGTAAAGAGTGTACTTTTACTTACATTTATTTAATATCTAGTTACTTTGCAGATTTGGATTAATGAAATATAATCAACACTTAAATAAGAGTTATGTTACACCAGGAATAACACTCACAAGCTACCCTGCAGTAAACAAAGTCATTCAAACTAGCTGCACCTCTACCAGCTTTCATAACACTTTAATGCATCAATAATTATAATCAAAACATATTATATATAATTCTGAAATGTGCCAATGTTCCTAATTAGTATTTTTACTTTTGGTACTTTAAGTATATTTAAATGCTAATACTTTTACTTGAGTAACATATTGATTGCAGGACTTTTACTTGTAACAGAGTATTCCTACACTCTGGTACTTCTACTTTACTTAAGTACAAGATCTGAGTACTTTCTCCCCCCGTCTTTTTCATCATTGGACTGTGGACTCGATGCAAATCATTGTACAGCGAAAGATGAGTATTATACAGTATGTAGGCCTTTTCAAAACAATGACCTACCGTGCAATATATGGACGGGACCATAATCAATTTAGCTGACCTTGATATGGCTCGTTGTGTTCACATGCATGTTTTGTTGATATAAGAATGTGGCCAACATGACGCGAGAATAAACAGCAGGGTTTTCCCGACCATTATAACTCTTGGGAGTTGCGCTGACATTGCACAGTTTTGTTTTCACAGCGACAGTCACTATTAATTATTAAGTTGTCTGTTTAGCTTTTTTATTTATGTATATACCGGGACATGTTTTCATACAATAACAACAATGTTTGAATATCTGTAAGCATTAAAAGCTCATTGAGAGGCTCTACTTGCATAGTTATATACATGTTTCACTTTTTATTTTCACTATGTGTCCAAGTACAGAAATGTGGCTAATAAACTTTGAAATACATGCTTTGGACAATTCTGGGATTTCCCAAAGGTACATAAACACTTGGATAAGGCTCGAAGAAGCTGTGTTCAGAACCCTCTACTAAATTAACTAATATTACAAGTTAAGAAATAACAAGTAAGTGATGCTTTATTCAACATTTTTATTAAGTACAATTAAAACTCAACTGCACATACAGTAATTGAAATTCTATATTACCACCACCATATTTTGCACAAGTGTTTCTAAAGCTACTGCTTGTGTGTTTCTGGCTTGTTTTAATTCAATGTAGGGCTCCAAGAAATGTATTTTGGAAACCTTTGATGGTTGATCATTCTTCCAATCTCTCTTAGACTGTTTCAAATCAAAGGCATTTACGATTGTTATAGTTTTCCTATTTTCCTTTTTAAATATATAATTTTTTGTCGGGTCAGCTATAATGTCTCAGATATATTTAGCTACTCGGTTGGAGAAATGCAAAGGATATTATAACTTAAGAAAATCGTTTTAGTCCGTTTTTCCATGCTATATAACTTTTGTGTATCACTGAATTCCACAAAAATAGATTTTATAAATAATATCCTCACTTAACTTGGATAAACTGTAGCAACTCTATCCTTTGTTGGCTGACCTCCTCCCCTTCTCCCTTGCAGGAGGAGGCCAAGCAGATCCAGAACCAGCAGAAGGCCAGCAGTTCCCGTTCAGACTCTCGTGACGAGGAGGTTTCTCCCCCCATGAACCCGGTGGTGAAGGGCCGCCGGCGGAGAGGAGCCTTCAGCGCGGAGGTCTACACAGAGGAGGACGCAGCCTCTTATGTCAGAAAGGTAGACGTGCAAGCAGCTCACAAAGAGTGTCGCAACACTTTAATCTGCAATCTGATATGATCTGCTCTATGAAGAGTTGCGTGACGTGTCTATTGTTTTTAAGGTCATTCCAAAAGACTACAAAACGATGGCAGCCTTGGCCAAAGCTATTGAAAAGAATGTTCTCTTCTCACACCTGGACGACAATGAGAGGAGGTACCTGTCTTAAAGTTGTTTTGATAAAGCTCTTGAAAGTTTTTGCAACAGCTGGCTTACTCACAAATCTTTTCTTTTTTAGTGACATATTTGATGCCATGTTTCCAGTCACCTACATCGCTGGGGAAACTGTTATTCTGCAGGGTAGGAGGACTTCATCTTGTTGTGATAAGTTGATCAGATCCAGATCATGATACTGTACATATTATTTTTTTCAGAGTCATCTGTCATATTGCTATTGTAGATACTTTTTGTACATTAAAATTATACTTGGCTCTAAAGCAACTTCTGTTAATGTGTTGCCAACTCGGCAATAAATCTGACTCTGATTGATGTCGTTGTGTAATGTTAACGTCCTCTTTGTATGCACACAGGTGATGAAGGAGACAATTTCTATGTAATCGACCAAGGAGAGATGGATGTGAGTGTTGGATCCTCTTCAAAATCAACAGAAAACATTATTTTTGTCACCATTGGGTTTAAATGTCTCTATTTCTATCCTGCTTGTCTGCCAGGTGTATGTGAACAATGAATGGGTGACCAGCATCGGGGAGGGGGGTAGCTTCGGAGAGCTGGCCCTGATCTACGGGACCCCGAGGGCGGCCACCGTGAGAGCCAAGACCAACGTGAAGCTGTGGGGCATCGACAGGGACAGCTACAGGAGAATACTTATGGTGAGGAGGCGCTAAACATACACACCCCACCTACACTCTAGTATGTGGGGTGTGTATGTCACCACTGTATATAGACTGTTGCATACATGTAATATATGGTAGTCCTATTTACTTTAACTTCTTATGTTTGTACAAATATTTGATCTTTTATTGGATTGTTTTTCTTAACTTTTCCTGAATTATTTGTATTGGACATTTTACCTTTGTTTATATACATATTTTTGTCTTATTTTAGCTTTTTATTGCACATCTTACTTGAACTTCTCCTATTTATATACATACTTTTTTTCTATTTTATTTTGGTACATTTCTCTTTAGATTAAACATTTTGTATTCTATTTTCTTAAATGGAGCCACTGCAATAAAGCCAATTCCCGCTAGGATAATTAAAGTATTCGTATTTTGATTCTGTTAAAGGGGAAAGGAAACACCAATTACAGCTATAATATTCCGGGAGTTTATTCATTTTACAATGGATATTGATCGTAATATTTATTGTATATGATATTACTCGCCAAAAGAAAATTAATTATCCGCCGGCCGGGTGGGGAATTCCGGGACCAGGCCGCCGCCATTAGGGGAGTCCCAAATGGTGACGTCACTGGGTGGGTCTTCGCTCCGGGTATCCATACCGGAAGTCAACACAACGTAGCAGATATGGCAGCGATGGAGGAATTTTGCAATGAGATCGACGTTTTGCACGATGAATTTGACTATTCGTCGGGAGATGACATTGATGTGGAAGCATCTACAGTTACCAGGCATCCCATGGCCTATGCTTATGAACCGATTCGGTCGAATACTAGAGTGGCATACGATCCGGAATCCGCCGAAAGTACCGACGGTTCTGAACTCGCCGAGTGGGATACCACCAGTTCCAGTACCGACTCGGTCTCAGTGGTCAGTTGACATATATGTTGTATTATTTTCCAACACCTCATACATCTTGGCAATACCATCCATTGAACACCTAGTCCAGCAATACTAGCCTTTTTAGGGCTGTTTTCGACAGATGAGCGTGTGTATGCCAGTTTAATTAGTTGAGCTATAGAACACCCCCAATTCTCAATTGTACGTCATAATAATAGCTACCATTTAGTTTGGACGCGATTGCGTTAATTAATAAGGTCACACTGTGTCAGGAAATACATGTGTGAGCTAGTAATCTGGTAGTGCTGCAATATTTACCTCTCTCTCGGCAGCTGAAGCAACTCGTTTGGTGGCTCGAACTTCACGTTTGTTGACACTGTCATCGTCTTGCGCGGCCGACGTGCTGGAACGGTCGGTGTTCCCGACTGCATACGTTGAGAAATCGAATATTGTGGGAACAGATCCTGGCTTCAAATCCGATGTTTTGTATTGAACCAGGCATCCAGACTCATCAAACCTCATTTTGTGGACATAATCGTCATTTTAAAGTGTTCACACACGTGCGTACTGATTCAGCGGCGGATCGGACCGTTTCATGGAAATAACCCATGCTTTGAGCAGCTTCTCATCCGTTAGTGGCAGCCTATGGAAATGTACTTCTTCCTTCTTCGTATAAAATCCATTTGTGCAGCCTGGGGCAATACAATAAACTCCTGACGACGACCGTTTTCTTTTAATGTAAACTACTGGTGCATTGCCCGCCATGTTGTTTGTTATTGAGCTTTGGCCCAGGAAGCCGTAGCCACTCAGTGACGTCACTGGGAAAGTCCCGGAGCAATGGAAGCGCCCATGGTCATTAGGCACGTATTTCAAAAAATAAATTTGCGTATCTCGATCGTTTACATTGGAAATAGACTAGATAAATACATTTCCTAATGGGAATATTGTCGCACGGAAAGCAGTTTGAAAAGTGTTTCCATTTCCCTTTAAAGCAAAGAAAGGCCACTGATTTTAAAGCCAGGTTGTAAAATGTTTGTCATTAATGTACTTTTGCCTAGTTGTGGGGCATCTCTCATATTTTTAAATGTGTTATCAAGTTCTTCTATTCATTTTTACACAATAACACAAATATCTTTCTCTTCAGGGAAGCACTTTGAGAAAGAGGAAGATGTACGAGGAATTCCTCAGGAAAGTGTCCATTCTAGGTGGGTTTGTTTTTCAAATCATCCCAAATATTTTAAAATGGAAGCACGTTACATGTGTATGGTGCTGAGATTAAAATAACCTAAAAGAGCATTTAAAAATACATCTCCTTAAAAGCATAACTAATAACAGGTTCAACCTTTTCAAATCTGATGTTTTACAGTGTTGTCATGTCAGCTGACTTCTCTTCTCTCCTTTGTTCACAGAGTCTCTCGACAAATGGGAGCGTCTGACAGTCGCTGATGCCTTGGAGCCCGTCCAGTTTGAGGACGGACAGAAGATTGTTGTGCAGGGAGAGCCTGGAGACGAGTTCTTCATCATCTTAGAAGTACTTACTTCATCACTGACTTACACACATGCCTTTATACATGTCACAGTTTTACCTCTAAACTCTGAGTTCTGTAATTGATTGTTGGCCTAGTTACGTCAGACAGTGTAAGGGATGTTGGATCCTCTTGGGACTCAATGCTGGTTTATATTTTCAGCTCTTTAAAGTATTACCACCTCTATTTGTTATCGACAAATACACGCCCTCTTGTGGTGATATGAAGAGTTGCCTCATCATAAACATGTTTTGATCTTTGAGCCCGAAAGGATTAGTCAATTAATTGATAAGTCAGTCAACTTAAAATGTATAGTTTGTGTAAAATTGTGTTTGTAACAATTTGACAAATGTTGGTTCCAACCACTTAAATATTATAATTTGGGGCTTTTTAAAAGTTTTCTTTGCGTCTTCCAAGTCTAGACATTTTCATTGGTGTGATGCAATATGAAGATGTCACATTTGGTGGAAATTATAACGGGTTGATGTTTTCATTTCAGTGCGAATAGATTGTTGAACTAACAAATAATTATATTTGAAATGGACTTTTCTGAAGAAGATATTCTGATAAATGTGCTCATGTAACTTAAGGTGTAGGCTATGTGTTTTTCTCAGGGTTCTGCAGCTGTGTTGCAGCGTCGCTCAGAGAACGAGGAGTTTGTGGAAGTGGGGAGGTTAGGACCCTCTGACTACTTTGGTAAGCACGAAAGCTTTCATCACAGCAGTCTGTATATGTATTACTATTTATACGTCATTGATATTGTTTTGCGGTACCGTTTTAAATAAAAAAGCAAGGAAACACTTGATTCCTGTCACTAAACACATGACCAAAGTGCACTCTCTTCATGTTATTTGACATTTTGTGTGTGTTTTCTGTGTGTTCTCCAGGTGAGATTGCCCTGCTGATGAACCGCCCCCGCGCTGCCACTGTGGTCGCCCGCGGCCCCCTGAAGTGTGTGAAGCTGGACCGACCTCGCTTCGAGCGCGTCCTGGGTCCCTGCTCGGACATTCTCAAACGAAACATCCAACAGTACAACAGCTTCGTCTCGCTGTCCGTCTGAAGGGTCTCTCCTCCTCCTCCTCCTCCTCCTCCTCCTCCTCCTCCTCCTCCCTCCTCCTCCTCCTCCTCCTCCTCCTCCCCCCTCTACCCTTTCCCCTCTTTTCTCCTTTTAGACCCAGGGTCCACCAATGCAATTTGCTTTTTGTCACTTTCTTCTTCTTCTTTCTGTTTCGGCTTTTATCCCTTTTCGTTTTACACACAGAGATCATTTTGTTTGTTAGCACCCGTCACGCTGAGGTGACTTTCAGCCATTCACCAGCGCTTGTACCAGCTGCTGTACGCTACCTTGTAGGCACAGGTTACATCACACGTTACCTATGTTATATTCGCTGGTTACGCTTTCTTTTTTTGACTTAAACACAAAGCAGGATTGTTAGGAGATCTGAAAGACATTAGGGTCTCAGACTGCTGAGACAGGACAATCAAACTTTACATGGCGCTTTTAGTGAACTTCTTACAGATTTAAGTTGTAGGTTGAACAGAGGACTTATTTTCTCCCCGTTAAAAAGTTTCCTTTTGGACATAATTTAGCCCGATTAGACACAGTGTAGAGAAAAACCTAGAAACTGTATAAAAAAAAAAAAGGCAGGACGAATATGATTGAATTTTATCAGACGTTATTTAGGTTTCAGCTATACCATGATTGGCACGATGAGAAAAGGCTGTTTTGCTTAGTAAGAGAGAGCTTGTATAAATTATAATTTGAATGTGCAGCTACCAGGCGAGTGCCAAATGTGGATTATTGTCACAACGCAACGATGCATAGCCGTGGAAACGCAGTGCGTGCCCTCAATATTTGGAGCTCCAAACAGGAAATAGTTACTGTCCTCTTTATCGGTAGAACGACCATACAAGAACTGCCTTGACTACTCTGAGGAAAAATAATATAATATATAAAAGAAAGCTAAAAAAAAAAAGAAAAAAAAGAGTATTAAGTGTATTTCAGTATTCAATTTTTTTAGTATATACCAAATAACTTGGTCACTCTTCTGCTATGGTTTGTAATCAAAATGTTATCATAGTATAGTTCAAATCGATCATAGTTATATTATTATTATTATTATTATTATTATCATGGACTAAATGATAAACTTATGGTTTGGAGTGATGGTGATCTAAAAAAAAAAACTATGTTTAACTGTCTTTTGTAAACACTTATTTTTCCATAAATTCTATTTTAGGTGTCCAGTGCCACAAAGTAAATAAATGCTTCTTCTTGTCAACCGACAAAAACAGTATGTAATCGTATCGTGTAAAACGTCATGGGTTAAAACTTAAAAAAAAGAATAGATCAAATGGGTTATTCCAGGTTTATTGAAGTGAAGTCTTGAAAAAAACAAGATGGTTTTATGGGTTTTCAGGACATCTGAAGTATTTATGTATGGAAGCGGATGGGCAGAGTGAGCAGATATTTATTTAAAACTAGTGTCATTGCTTATTGCCTATTTGAAAAGGTGGCTGTCTTTTCATCAGAGTAGCTTGTGATCTGTTCTCTATGCTTACTTGGCATGATGTTTTAGGCATCCAGTGATCCGGTATGAATGGAAAGCGTGTATTAAAAAAAAATCCTGCAGCTGCTGCGTGCAGAAGCAGGAACTTTGTCAAATATTTGGTTTGTTACTCCCTAGCTTAACTGCTTCATGACTATTTAGATGGCATATAATGTTTAAGTCTGTTTTTGTTTTTTTAAAAGATCTTTACCAAATCACACAATGTTGACTTCTGGATTATAGGCTTAACTCTTCATTCCTGCCTCACTTGTCTGTTACCAGAAATGACATAGAACCAGTCATGTGTTTCTGTTTTGTCTCATTCAGGGCACTTAAATGCGCTTAAGAATCGAGATGTATGTTGTACGTCCAAAAAAGATTTGATTTTGGTGCCGATTGCAGGGTATAGTCAAGTTAGTGAGAAGAGTTTTTTTGTTAATGGACATGAGTAATATGTAATTTTCTTTACAGTTAAATCAATCATCTGATCCCTATCCTGATCCACAGGAAATGACTCCGTTAGGGGAGCGTGGGTTTGACTCACCTTTTATCAAAATATTGTTTTCTTGTAAATAGCAGCATCATTGGTTTTAGTCCAAAAATGTTTTTAGCCACACTGCAATCGTCCCGGTTTGCCTTAGCTTACCTAACCTGGGCTTACAGTAGTAGTCAGTCACTCCTGCTAGCCCGACCTCCAGTGAGTTTGTTAGGCCTGCAGCGCAGAGAGAGCTGCAGGCGACCAGAGGACCATTCTTTTTCTATTCTACCCTGTATTCAGTTTGACCTCCTGTATGTGCAAATATGTTTATCCTTTTGGTATAGATTGTTCCAGATGGCAGTTTAAGCAATAAAAAAGTAAAAATAATTCAGCTTTGTGTTGTGTTTTCTTCTTTTATGTTTCAACTTTTGTTGTTATATTTCAGGGTTGAAAAACACAGATATGTTAAATCATCAATTTCACAGTCTACACATTACAGTTTTTCTTTTCCTAAGTAAAAGGCCAAAGTTAATTGCGTTAATATATAGGCCTACTTCAATTACTGAGAGTAGAACTACACATTTTACAGCAGCCTATATTAGTATAATGTATACAAAATAATAATAATTGTTGATGCATTTATTTGTTCATTGCTATATTATTGCAACTGGAAAAGTTAGGGCGTATTTCTTATCTGTATTTGGATTATTATTATTTTGTATATTTAACTTTTTCCGTCTGGAGATACTGTCATTGATTAAATGGTACAATAATTTGTCAAATATGATATGAATTGTAAATGTAAAAAGTGGCAAAGCTATCAAATGAATGTAGTGGAATAAAAAGTGAAATATTTGCCTCTTAGTTGTAGTAGAGTTTTAGTTTAAAGTAGAAGAACATCGAAATAAAAGTAAGTTTGTAGGCCTTCAAGTACCTCTAAAATGTTACTTTTATAACTGTGCTTAAGTAGAGACAATTCTTCAGGCTGAACTCTTTTAAAGTATGTAAAACACTGACATTATTAATGTTTTTTACACGGTTTCCCCCAAAACATAAAACACTGGAAATAGATGTATTTTTCGCCTCTGTGAAACAGGTGAGCAGGGCATCATGGTTGCACAGAGATCTGTTTAGTTTATTTCCACTAAAGAGATTCAAAAATACATGTTTAACTCAGATGGGAAGTCTGTTCTGCAACAGTATCGCCGACTACCAGACGTATTACAAAGGTAAGTGTAGTTAGCTAATTGTTTATGTTTGTTAGCTAGTTAGCTTGTAACTGGCAGATGTCCTGACTCGGTGTAACTGGTTATAAAACATACAATACTATGTAATATTTTTTTGTAGATATATAAGAAAGCACAAGGGTATAGTTTACATCCAAAAAAAGCTAACTCTACCTTGTTTGCTTTGAATAATTTACCTAAAACGGCACACTTCATGTTTGTTGTAAAAACTTTACCTATGCTAATGCTAACTCTCGCTCTCTGACAAGTTGACTAACACGTTAATATGGTTGTAGTTCAAGATGCTTCCAGTAAAGTGTTTCCATTAAATGGGTTTTAACTTCTGCTGTCTAAATAATGTATTGTAAAGTCAATCTTAATAATAAGGGTTATGTTGGGTACATTGGCTCTGAAAAGAGATGCAACATGTGATATGTCCACCGGGGGGAGACATGCCACTGCTTAATGTTTAGAAAACAGCAGGACCATTTTTTATTTATTCCTGCACCAAAACATAGTAGAAAAGGTCACTTAATACATACTTTTATAGATACAGTCTATGACTCATACCCACATGTTAAATGTTAACCTTTCTTCCGTTTTCTCATTATTTCTCAACATTCTTCGTCTCGTTAATAATCACATTTTCTTTAAAGAGGATTTTGATCACTTTAGACAACTTAGATTTTTTTCCACATAGTATATTTTCAAATAATGAGAAACATTTATAAATGTAATTATTGCCAATTGTCCTTGGCTCTTGGGAAACTACCAACATCTGCAGCTTTGACATTATTGCTATTAGTTTTTGGAGTTGGAAAAGTTTGGCTAAATTTGCCTTTTCACTTTTGAATCTGTCATTCTACATTTTCAACTGGGGTTTCAAATGTGAATTCCTGTTGCTAGATTTCAGTGAAGATACACTGTGGTTTAAAGGTATTTACCTGTGGTAGAGAGCACTTTTTACGATCTCGACTTATCAGCCTTACTGCCTGCCTTTTTAAGCTGATGTCTGACTTTATTTGGCATTTTTCCAAACGTTAAGATCTCTTAAAAATAGTTGTGGTTGTTCATCTTGTTTTACATCACACACATACCTGGATCATATCAAGTCTGTCGGATAGGAACACATAAAATAATGAAGGCTAAAGCTCAAAATTGGTTACAGATGACAACACATTCTCATATTCATAATAAGAAAATGTTGGCTTAGTTCAGGATTTTCTATCTTGATATATATATGACACATATTTCACATTTACTTAAGGTTAGTCATTACTGTGTCTCAGCCTGTTTTAGTTGACAGTGACGTGTTAAAGCTGTTTAAACCCTCTGATGAGACAGAAGGATTTACAAGTCTGGAAAATGGGGTGGAGGAAACTAAATGACTGTTTTAACGGAAGCACTTTTCTCACACACATACATCTACAGACACACTGTAACTTACAGGTGATCCTTTCTCTTCAAAATAACTTTATTTTAAAATTAGAACAACACAAAGACACCCACACATTCCTCTCTATACCAACAATATTCACCAGCATTAATTTGGCAAACAACTGATCCAGTGCATCGTAGCTCTCTTTTATTAATAGTAGCTCCACTGCTGAATTTGCTGCATGGTAGAATAATCATGCTTTAGCTTAATTTATTTAATAAATAAACTCCATTCCCTGATGCTTCTTTTTGGTTTTTAACATTGGTTTTTAAGGGTGCACTTTTGGGCTTTTTAATATTATATGTTCAATGCATTTGGCATACATGTTGGCAAGGGTGCAAGTTTTTTCTTCCTAAAGCTCAACCTCTTATAATAAGTGTTAAATAAACGGTGTAGTCAAAATACAGACACTCAAAAGCTTAAGGGCTAAACATATCTTCATTGAAACCCTTTTAAAACCGCCATGCTTGATCCCATAGCCATCAGGATTTCAATCTTGATGTACCTGATGTTGTGTTCGTGGACATAACAAAAAGTGAGTCATAAAATGCACCCTTGGGGGAATTTATGACCATTAAAGATACAAAAGGAAATAAAATGCACAACTCCCTCTGTGATAGGAATTTGAGGCCTGCAGTGATTCACGCTCTGAACCTCCTCAACGAGATCCTTCTCTGATAAGCTCAGAAGATTTGAACCCGTCTTCCATTTATGGCTTGTTCCTTAAATCGAAACCATCTGAGCCTTGTTTTGCGTACTTCGCTTCATCATGAAGTCTTCTGCACAGAAACAGCTATGAAGAGGATCATTTCGTCCTGTGCTACCTGTCCTTCTTCATCTCTGTGTTGATCTGAGGTGTCGCTGTGGATTTGACAAAGTCCTTGGTGATCACGTCCTCCTCGCCCAGCCTCCTGACGCAGCGCTGCACCGCTCGGAGGACCTTCTGTAGCCGGCGGTCCAGCGCTGAGAGGTGAGGCTCCGTTAGGACGGGCTGTAGAGAGTCTCCCTTCAGAGACTCCCTCATCACGTCGCTCAGTCTGAACTCTGGTCGGGCCAGGAGCTGCAGACGCACCAGAGTGGAGCGCTTTATCCTGAGGAGAGAAAAGCAAAACTCATTTTCCTTCCAAAACGTCTTTGAAGATAAGATAAGATAAAATGTACTTTATTGGTCCCGATTTGGGAAATGTTTGCGTTGCAGCAGCATAAAAGACAAGGCATTGCACATAAGTAGAAGTTATTAAAAGTAGAAAAATTAAAAAATTACTCTATGTAACAATTCAAATGTATTAATCGCTTTGTTTTGCAATTGGACGGATTCTAACATAAATTAACAAATGAGACCTTTCCAGACTTTCTCTGTTCTATATAACAGCCTGTAGACTTAAGGCGCTTTTGTCAGAGAAATACAAAGAATATATAGTGTATGCACTTTCCCAAGGACATCCTGTTTTTCAGATCAACATAGCAAAATACAGTCTTTAGTCGATAGGCTTATTAAGCAAACACTTTGGACTGATAAGGCTTGTATATTGGTTAGCTTGCGGTTAGGGTTATGACAAGTGGTGTTGATTTTAACCAACAACAATTGTGTAAAGGTACATGGCTAAGGTAAGCAAGCCTTGGTTGCTTTGTAACTTTACAAACTAATTTGGTAATGTTATTCTAAATATGAACCACTAGTGTAATAAAACGCCACTGTTGTGACCATTGCTCGGAGCCCAACAGGATGCAGTTCAGTTAACGGACACTGGTGCTATTAATGACCATCACTTCACATTATTTCACTTACACGCAGCACTGCGATAGTGGAGCCAGGATGGACATCTCATCTTGAGAGTGTTTCCCAAACCTGAGCACAAGATGTGATTAAGATAATGAAACCACAACGGATCATTTTACAATCATTAAATTATCTGTCAGGTTTTAGTCTCACCCTCGTGCATTGTCCAAGTGGAGAAGGAACCCATCGTCCCCAAATTTAGTAAAAATCTCATAATGGTGTCTGTCCATGTTGCCTGTAGCAAAGTTAAAACACAGTAAAGTAAGAGACAGTTAAAGCTTGAGTGCCAAAGTGAAAAGTAGATAAAGTGGATTAAATACTTGTGAGGAAGTCGAAGATGGACATGTCGATGATGTTGAGGAGCCTGTTTCCTGAGTTATATGGATACTGTTGTTTCACTGTGTCACAGTAGAAAGGATTCACTTCCCACCTAAAAAAGAACAGACAATAATATTTGTTTTCAAAAATTCTGATTCAGGAACTGTTTACTGCATTTGAATGTTTTTGTCTAGATGTTTGGAACAATTTCAGAAAACTGCGTCTGCAATTTCCCTGAGTTATTTTTAGATTTGGAGTCATTCTTATAATTATTTAATGATGAGATGTATGGCACAACACAGGATGAGTCAGCTTATTGTTAACCTCAAAGGTTAGTCAAATAGAGCAGTGGTTCCCAACCTTTTTTCCCAAGAGCCCCCCCCAAATGACTCCTGTTGGAAGGGCCGCCCCCCCCTCCCACACACACAGACTCACGGGGGGGGCGCAACAGCGGTAATTAAAGTTTAAAAGTCTCAAAAATGCTACAACTACTGTCACAAACTGGATGAATGTGAAGTATTTTGAGGAGCACTATTGGAGTGACTTTGATGCTTATTGGACTCAGGATTCATTCATTTGGATTCCCGCTGTATGAAGAAATTAAAGGACGCCGCAAGTGGAAACAATTCACAAAGGGATTAAACTGTTTAAAACACATGCTCAAAGTAAGCCGGATTTTGCCGATGTGTTTATGTGGATTCAAAAGTCGTAAATAATCTACAAAATGGAGGAGACCGATCTGATCGGAGCAACTGTGACAAATAATCCAACTGAAACCGGCATGGACAATGGCTATGTTTTAAAAATGCGCTTATCCAGAAAAGCCCGGATTGGACACTTAACGGGCAGAAGAAACATTTATATTAAAGAAAGAATTATACATTTCTGTCTTTTTATGCCTTTAATAGCTACTAACTTGAATTTGTATTCAAATGAATTAATCAATTATTTTGTATATTGTATTGTAATGAAGAGACAAGGCTTTTAGTGACAATCATGTATTGAGTTACAATTATATGTAAAAAAAAAAAAAAGTCTAAATATGATATTTGGCCTCAAATCATCTGAGGCCTGGCGCCCCCCCCCCTGCGATCTTTGGTGCCCCAAGGGGGGCGCGCCCTCCAGGTTGGGAACCATTGAAATAGAGGATGGTGTAGAAAAGAAAGAAACAGTAAAATAGACGAAGCACTCTTCTAACCCTAATTACGAAAGTCTAAAACCAAAGAGATGAACATAAAAACATTTCTGGAAAATCTAGTCTTTTGTTTTTGTACTCCCCCACTTCACAATGATTTATGTTCTGTATTTGAATCTAATTTACTTAAAGGTGGGGTAGGTAAGTTTGAGAAACCGGCTCGAGATACACTTTTTGTTATATTCCATGGAATGCTCTTAACATCCCGATAGCAATGAATATCTGAAGTGCTTTGATAAAAAATCCATACAAAAATGTCATCTGTGGAAGCCGCGGCGCTGTAAAAAGCACGACCAATGATCTGAGCCGGCCCGGCTAAAGTAACTGGATGGCCTACCTGCCTGTCAGCCTCCCACCTGTGCACAAACTTATCTCGTGCCCTGATTGGTCATGTGCGCGTTCGTGTGTGTTGGAGGAGGGGCTCTGTAAGGAAGTGGCAGATTCGTTCCGGTTGTGTATTTTCAAATTCTAGCGCACTCGAGCTGGTTTCTCCAAAATTACCTACCCCACCTTTAATCTCATCTTTGTTTGGTGTTTAAATTGTACTTTTGTAAAGCGACTTTGAGTACTTAAAAGCGCTGTATACATTTTAATGTATTATTATTGTTGTTTTATTCAAAAAATACTAGACTTTACAATGTTACTGGAGGCCACCCACTGTTCCAGCCGCAATGAAGTACTGCCAGTAAGAGACGGTAAATTCCCATCATGCTGTTTTAACTAAAACATGTGGGGAACATATTTTCAACAATAACCTTACTTCATGTATGTATATCATAGGAAGTCAAATCTCCGGTATACAGAGTTCTAGCTACGATACGATAATACTTTAATGGTCAGATCAAGTCTGACATTTTACTTGCATCACAGAAGCTCCATGTGTAACATCAACAGACAAATATCAAGACACAATACATGAAAAACAAACAACAAATTTTTAACATAACACCACAATCACTCAGAGAAAACATGCTGCTCAAAGAGCCTTTAGCGTGCATTTGATCTGGGATCAGCTCTGTTTTGACTGTGAGGATTGACTGGAGCACAAAGGATGCTTCAGTCTGACTTTATTGAATCGTGGGACCCTGTATCTCTGATCAGATGGTAGCAGTTCATATTCGCTGTTCAGAACATGGTTTGGGACCCAGATGATGTTGTTGGACAGCCTCACTAGGTTGTTAGGCTGAGTCATAACGTCTCTGACAGGGTTGACCAACAATCTTTGAGCAGATTTTTAACAGGTGGAGCAGTTTTGATTTGAAAGCTGTTGACAAAAACTTGTACTGGCTCTTACTCTTCTCGTCCGCTGAAGGTGTAGGAGCGAGTCCAGGGGTTGGGGATGGAGATGCGGGGCGCGTTGCTGAGGCTGGGCAGGTACGCCGACAGGGACCCCTCCAGCAGGTCTGGTCCTCCACACACTGCGTACTCTGTCTTACAGACGTACAGGCACTTGGCAAAGAAACACGTGTTGTTGGCTGTTTAGAGAGCAGAATGAAAGGGTGGAATACAAAATGAGCTTCATGTTCACTTAAAATTACATGCTGTTTGATCTGCTTGGCTTTCCCTCTAACTAAAGAACATTAAACCAGAACAAAGAAACAGTCTTAGGTTTATAAAATATATAGGGACACACTGTAGAAACAACATTTTTCCTAAGAAAAACACACATATTTTAGCATGATATTGAGTGTAGCAATGGTTGCTGAAAATGGTCTTAATAAAGTGTAACCCTTGCCAAAAATAAAAACACTTTACGTTTTTAATGTTTTGGCATACACATTTAAAGTGAAAGGAAAGTGGCACGAAATATTTATCAAGATAAACTTTTTGCATTGTCTCACATGTGTTTTTCGAGATCTATTATTATTATTATTAGAGAGGTTAGTAGTGTGACTGACCTTCAGTATAGCGGCCTTATCGACTTAAATTCAAACAAGAAGCAACAGAAAGCAGCTAGCGTGAATCTGTCTAAGGTCTAATCTATCACCTCTAAAGCTCACTAAGTAACATATTATATATTGTTTGTTCAAATCATGGTTAGTTGCATTTTGAATGCCCTGTAAGACTACAACTTGTTCCAGTCTGTATGCTAAGCTGTTAGCTTCATACTTGTGTACAGACATGAGAGTGGTATCAATCTTCTCATCTTATTCTTGGCAATAAAAATGAATTGGCGTATTACCCAAAATGTCAAACTATTCCTTTTAAAAAGACCTGCTGGTTCTTTACCAGGTGAAGTGAAGAACACAGCTCGCAGGTCATCGTTGTGAGTAACTAGCAGAACTTCTCCTGAGACGTTCACCAGCCTGCCAGCTACCGGCGGGACCCTCCGGAAGTCCAGGATCCTGAAAAATAATTGAATGAGAATTACTTAAAGGTCAACTATTATGCAAAATCCACTTTTTCATGTCTCTTCTACATCAACACGTGTCCCCTCTTCTTCATGTCTCTTCTACATCAACACGTGTCCCCTCTTCTTCATGTCTCTTCTACATCAACATGTGTCCCCTCTTCTTCATGTCTCTTCTACATCAACACGTGTCCCCTCTTCTTCATGTCTCTTCTACATCAACACGTGTCCCCTCTTCTTCATGTCTCTTCTACATCAACATGTGTCCCCTCTTCTTCATGTCTCTTCTACAATCAACACGTGTCCCCTCTTCTTCATGTCTCTTCTACATCAACATGTGTCCCCTCTCTTCATGTCTCTTCTACATCAAACACTGTCCCCTCTTCTTCATGTCTCTTCTACATCAACACGTGTCCCCTCTTCTTCATGTCTCTTCTACATCAACATGTGTCCCCTCTTCTTCATGTCTCTTCTACATCAACACGTGTCCCCTCTTCTTCATGTCTCTTCTACATCAACATGTGTCCCCTCTTCTACATCAACATGTGTCCCCTCTTCTTCATGTCTCTTCTACATCAACACGTGTCCCCTCTTCTTCATGTCTCTTCTACATCAACACGTGTCCCCTCTCTGTAAAGACATTCTGAAAGTTTCAGGAAAAAAGATTCTCTCACTTTTTGTCCTGATCTATTTCTATAAAAACCTGTCTGAGAATGAGCTGATTCGATTTTGGCCACTTTATGATGTCATAACGATTTTTTTGGCTTGTGTAACCATTAGCCAATCAGCAACCAAGGTACCCCCCGAAACGGTTTCTCTGCATTTGACCCATCCTAGTGTTAGGAGCAGTGGGCTGCCATTATGTACTGCAGTTTAGGGAACGGTGCCTTGGTCTTTCCAGGACTTGAACTGGTGACCTTCCAGTTGCCAAGCCAAGTCCCTATGGACTTCGCCACCTATAGTGTTCTTTCTAACCAAATGTCTCTCAGAGGGGCGTGGGGAGGGGCTCCTTATTTTCATCTAAAGTAACAGACAGAGAATCAGCACTTTTGAAACAGAGGGGATTATGGGTAATGCTACAATTATCTGTTTGGTGTTTCCAGCCAAACACTTCAGAGACATGTTTGTATATATCTGAGTTCTATAATATATTGATGACACACAGTATAGTAGGGGACCTTTAATAAGGGGGTTCCTGGTTAGTCATGTCAGGAGAATACTATCCTTATCTCTATCTCCTCACCTCGTTTCACAGCAGCCTGCGGTTTATTTTGACTGATTCTTATCAATGAATGAACTCCACTGACAGTCTCTACGCTGTATAATTTAGCTGGCTGTGTTCATACACACTATCAAGAGCTTATACCTCCCCCGAGGGCCCTATTTCAGTCATGTCGCAAACAGTAATCAAACAACAATCAGAGTAGCTCAATGGATGTTTCTCAGATCCTCAGCATTCCCCTACTGCTGATTTCTGGCGATGATTTTAAAGGTTTGGCAGCAAACGCAGACACAACAGAGAGAGACCACGCACTGCCTCGGATTAAAAACACTCCGCCTTAGATTACAAATAGGAAAGGGCAAAGAAATGTGTAGTGTTTGATGTCAGAAACTTCAAATATAATATTTAAAGACTAATAGAGCAGATATACAAGGTAATTATGAAAGTGTTGACGTGGCAACTCTTTTTTGGTTGAAGCGATGACTTATCATTGTGTGTGGCTCCTTAATGATACTGTCTGACTCAGATGACTGTGTTCAGAGTGAATCACCTCCCCTCAGCTAATGTGCAATTACAAAACGATGCGTGTGTTTTCTGGAGTTTGGAGCGTGTGGTTTAAACTGATCAGCTAGTTAGGAAACACTGGGTTGGGCAAACGTCTTGCAATCTTTACTTAAAGTGGGTGGTTTATTTCATGGCAGAAGGAGATGTTATTTTGATATATATAACTTGTTGAAGACCATAAAGGACCACTCGTTTAAGATTACACATCTAATTCCTCTAAAAATACTTAGCGGAATTACAGTGACTTATAGATATATCTCAAAGCCCTGTGAGCAGTACCGACAATAGACACAGTGTCAGCCTGCTTACATATGCTAGGGATGACAATGCTATCATGTGTATGCATGGCAGGTACAATGGTGACCATGTTCCCTATCATAGTGTATTAGCACCCTGACATTAGCTGATTGGCACTAAACACAAAGTATAGCTGGGGTTGATGTGAATGTCATCAGCGTAGTAGTTATTTGGCCACTGAAATGTAGTAGTGACCTTATGATGGCCAAATGTCATAGCAATCCATCCAATACTTAATTAAATATGTCACTAGGCATTTCCATCCTTAGAGCAATGCTGCTAGTATGAATTCACATGTTGATGTATGAATGCTGACATGTGTTTCTCCGTAATCCTAGTTTTAAACTTTGGTATGTTATACTGCTGGAAGCCATTAATAACTCATTTTGACTTGCTTGTTTCCAATCTGTTATTTGGTTTTAAATTTGCGTCACGTATCGTGCCATTAAAATGAAAAGGCCCAAACAAAAACATTTGCTGCACTTCAGCGGGCACCAGAGCCAGAACCAGGGCCAATAAAATGACAGATGTGAAACACAATCTGAAATTACCCCCAGGCGTCAATGCCACATAAATAAACTGAGAGACCAATTAAAACACAGAGATGGTAGTAAAACAGGAAAAACAATTAAGTGGTAAATGAGAGTTACGAGTGACGTCACTGCACCTGTCCAGGTGAAAGGCAGCGATCTCTGCGTTGTGTCTCTGGAGATCAACAAAGTAGAAGAAGTCTTCTGGAGTCTCCTCGTCTCTCTGCTGCCTGACACACACACACACACACACACACACACACACACACACACACACACACACACACACACACACACATACACACACACACACACACACACACACACACAATACACAGACACGCAAGATGTCAGTTAGTATAATTAACACAGGTAAAATTAATTATTAGACGTTGGCTTTATTTACACAATATTATCAAAGGTTTATTATTAACATGATGTTTCAGGTTTAAAATGTTGGCTTATCACAACTTTTCTGACTGAATTGTCCACCTTTTTATTGTGTTTCTGTATTTGGTGTTTTTATGGCTTTAAAAAAAATGAAAGTGTGAGCATGCATGCATTAGTGCACATGTGTGTATTGAGCAGTGCCTCAGGGACTCACCTCATTGGTTTGAACATGGCTTTTCCAAAGTTTTGCATCTTCAGAGCCAGTTTCAGGTGATGTCCGCTGGGCTTCACAACTACAGTAGAGCGGCAGGAAGAGAGACAACATTGACTTTATGTAGAAACTTAAATGATAGCTTGACAAAAGTAAACACTGAGCATCAGAGTCAGTGTTTGGTTTTGAACTGAATTCCCCAGAGGCCATTTTGAACTGGAACACTTTCAAGATCTGCCAGTTCCTTGTGATAAAGTAATTGGGGGTTGGTCACACAGCTTGTGCTCCCTCTCTATGTATGGCTGTATATTATGTCACAGCAGTAGGCCAGACCTACCACACACACACACACACACACACACACACACACACACACACACACACACACACACACACACACACACACATACACACACACACACACACACACACACACACACACACACACACACATACCATGTATACATCACTTCAGGGGACATTACATTGACTTACATGCATTTCCTGGAGACTTATCCTAACCTTAACCATAACCAACACACGCCTAACCCTAACCCTAACCCTTAACCTTACCAAGTCTCACCCTAAAATTAATGATTCCCCTCATGGGGACCTCCAATTTGTCCCCATAAGGGAAGCCAGTCCCCACACGTGACTATGTAAACAGATTTAGGTCCCCACAAGTATAGTAATGCTAGACCACACATACCCCACCCCCCCCCCCCCCACACAACACACACACACACACACACACACACACACACACACACACACAAAATTTAAGCAGACGGATTGTTTTGTTGAGTTTCTCTTTGGCAGTAAACAATGTTTCTGGGGTCAGCCGCTCCACTGTTGGCGAGACCCAGACAGGGCAGAAAGCAGCAAACTGTATACATAAAATATGTTATGGTCTGTATATCAAAAAGCTAGAGCAGAATTTTTACATTTCCACATAAAAAGTATAGTATAGCTTTATGGATATATCGTCCACTCCTACATATAAGCAAAACATCTATTTGTGTTGTTGTTTTGTGTCTCTTCTGGTGGTTTTGAAGTTCTTCTTTGGCCTTTTTCTGGCTCATGTTGTGTCTTTTCAAGGCACTTTTGTGTGTTCTTGGTCATTTTGTGATTCTTTTCACTCATTTTGTGTCTCCTTATGGTCCTTCTACATCTCTACTTAGTTGTTATGTGTCTCTGAGTGATATTTGTAGGTGGCCTGCGTTTTGATCCAAGGCCCACGCCCAATAGCCCCCATCCATTACACATCCATTTGTACCTGTTATCCGAAAGCCTTAATTATCACCTATACTTAGCCAACAGCTCTAGCCAGCAGTACCACTCAATCCACCATATCTGCCAGTGTTTTTGCTCACATCTATTCAAAGTGGATGTGTAAGTTAACCTTATCCATTAACCATCCATTATTCTATCTGCTGCTTTGGCTTGTCTGCTGCTGAGAGGTACAGTAGAAGAAGAAAGCGTAGGTAGCGGCTGGTGTTTAGGTTGACGCCTGGAAACATCGGCTTCCCTCTGAGCGCACCGACATCAAACATTTGCTGTAATTAAGAGCGCTGCCTTTGAACACAACCGAACGCCTGCTTTTTCGCCCCGGAGCAAGTGTCTTACACAGACCAGACAAATCTGGATTTCGATGCCAAACGAATCCTTGCTATCACAAAGCGCAGTGTGTCTGACGGTACCGCCAAGCACAGAGAGAGAAACAAAGAGACACAAACAAAGAGGCTAGTCAGAAATCGAACACAAAGAAGATACAAAAAAAAAAAACATACCTTGGGTACAATCACACGCTCCTTTTAGGGCCTTCTCATCTTGAGTGTAATCTGTAAGAAGTCAAAGTCTGTCAGCTCGTAATTGAGAAGTACAATAGTTACACTTTAACAACAATCATTTATCGCAGCATGGAATTTGACACAGAGCCAGAATATTAGCATCTCCAACAGCTTCTTTAATCTAGCATCCACTAAGTCAGAAAAGTGCAATATTAGGCTACTTTATGGCCCAACACCTAATGGTGGCTCCCAATAACTTGAAGCAATCACCATTCATTTCCCCCAGACTTACAGATGTTTTATAGTAATGTATCCGTCTATCCATCGCTCACCTGCGCTAATGACCGACATCCTCTGCATGTCTTTGAGCAGTTTGGGGATAGCGGGGTCGTTGCGGGAGTACAGAGCGTAGCTGCTTATTCCTGAGTGGAACTTCAGCCAGCTGGCTTCAGGGTCAAAGGTCACTTCATGTTCAGTCAGTGTGATGTTTGACAAAGCCGCTGCCTCGCTGTAGAGATGCATATGTCTGAGGAGTAAGAGAAGGAGCGGACGTTAACTGTAGGACATTAATTCATGTGATGTTACAGCCTTTAATGGGCAGTTTACAAAAATACATGTTTTATGTCTTAGTAAAGCATTAACAAAATCCCTCAAAACCCACCTGTTCAACACTGCATTCAAACTCTGACCACCCCCCCCCCCCCCCATATTTTCATTTTAGAAAAGCGCTATATAAGTGTCATGTATTATTATTATTATTATTATTATTATTAGTGCTATTTATATTTTTTAGATTGTCTGGGTGAGAAAGATGAGCTGTCAATATAATGGAACTACATGCACTTGATTTGTTGTGTGCCAAATACACATTTTGAAAGAGTAAAGAAGATAGTTCACAGACCTTGTGTTTAGCATTTGATGAGGGAACTATTTTACTTCAACCAAACTAGACCCATTAAGTAGGCACTAACCACTCTTGGTGCAATAGCAAGAGAATAGGTCTTGCGTGAAACTGTTCAAAACTAGATTTATTCGATCTATCTGGAATGAGATATTGCTGAGTTTTAAAAAAATATATGTTTTGTACTTTTTGTGTGCCAAGTATTTAAAGGGGATCTATTATGCAAAATGCACTTTTTGATGTCTTCTATACATATATGTGTCTCCGGTGTGTCGGGGAACTCACGCAGCGTCAGAAAATAAAATAAAAATATTTTGATATCAATTTTTTTTTTAAAGCTTTATACCCAAAATCAGCACTTTTGAAACAGGAAGTGAAATAGAGGGATATGAGGCATGGCTAGAATGGGTGATCTGTTTGATATTTTGAGCAAAGCACTTCATAGACATGTTTTTTTATATATTTGTAATATATCTGAGACCTATGCTATTGCCTAAAAATAGCATGATAGGTCCACTTTAAATTACGTTGGAGTAAAGGCAGACATTCTTATTTCCAACACTCGAAAACTCACACCAAAACAATATAGATTGACAAATAGCACTACGGGTAAGTTTGCATTTTGGGGGGGAAATGTCCCTTTAACAGATCAGTTAGAGCAGTGGTTAGGCCCCCCCTTTGGAGAAAAAAAAAAGTCAGGCCCCCCCCAACACAAATAGTCAGGCTCAGTGGCGGCGCCAGAGATTTATTTTGGGGGTACTGTTGGGTAGCTTGACGTTTCATAGAGGGTGCTCAAACATTTAGCGTTTCCCATTAATGTACCGGGCGCTACAGTGGAATGTTCTACTGCAACACTCCCCACGCAAATACACAGTGTGACTGTTACAATGAAGGCTCGATAATCAGCTCACAGCATATAGGTGTAAGCAGGGGTCAAGTGCTATTTTGTATAGGTGGTGTGTAGACCTCACATAGGGGGGTCCGGGGGCAAGCTCCCCCGGGAAGATTTTTAAATATTGAAGTTAAAAGCATCAATCTGGTGCACTTTGAGAGCAAAATGAAGAGATCTACAGTATGGATACATCTCTCAACACAGAACTGTAAACAGATTTACTTTTTCTTTATGGATATTTTACAAATCACTCCCCTTTTAAACTTTATTAATTGTTTAATGTCATATAGTATTTCATACCTGTTTTTAATTTATTCTCTTATTTTTTTATAACTATAATGATTATATAAACGTGTGCCTCGGAAATAATTGTTTACATTAATGGTGACCAAAACGTTTGAGACCCACTGAGATAACACTGAGAACACTCTCCTCCACCTTGTTGTTGAAAAAACTCCTTATATCCGTTAGCGTAGCCCGCTAGCACCAGAAGCTAACATCAACGATCTCCGGTACCGGTGCTCTCTCTCTCTCTCTCTCGCTCTCTCTCTCTCTCTCTCTCTCTCTCTCTCTCTCTCTCTCTCTCTCCCTCTCTCTCTCTCTCTCTCTCGCTCTCTCTCCTCTTCCTCTCCTCTCTCTCTCTCTCTCTCTCTCTCTCTCTCTCTCTCTCTCTCTCTCTCGCACACACACACAAAATGGCTCGTTCCACATACACACAGAGCCGAGCTTGAATGAAACACAGAGACCCGGACGTAATAGTATTGTATCATATTATTTTCAAAATATGATTTTTTTTTTTTATTAATCTTTTTTTTTTTTTTTAATAACCATTTTTCCTCCTGGTCTCATGCCTCTGCGCCCTCCTGGGGGGCGCGCCCCCCACTTTGAGAACCACTGAGTTAGAGAAATGTGTGTTCATCTATTTTGTTGTTGCAGAGGGTTTTGAAAGGCATGTTTTTACATGCCTTTCAAAACAATGACTAAAAACGGGTTCTTGCTTAAACTACATTTCCACGCTTTGAAAAGTAACCCCAGTGCTTAGGAATCTCTTCTTACAACAATTTGGAAAGACCAGAGTCTGAGTGGTAAGGGTGCCAGAAACCCAAGGCAAAGTGCATCCAACAGGTTTTCCAGCAGCTCTTACAAGAATGTGAAATGAAAGAGAATATGAAAACACAGCAATGTTTAATGAAGTTATTATGAACTCTATAACTTTCATTTGTCCCTAAAGCTGCATTCACATATCACATTTTATTAGTTGTCTTATGAGCTCTCTATTTTTTTAACAGCCGCTGTAAACATTTTGAAAGCCTCCTCTTCTCTCTGCTATACTTAAATCCTGAGCAACAATAATCTAAGACCAAAACAAATAGGTTTGTGGGGAGAGCGGCACCACTTTGCCAGAGCTGACCACATTGAGTGGGACAGTCATCTCCAAACCAAAACAAACTTCAGCACACGCTGCATGTGCCGAGATAATAGAGCAAAGAGTGTGGAGTCACTCACAAGATACTAAAGAGGAAGTGGAAAGTGTTATAAAGGGTAACTTCTTGCATATGTGCCAGCCACTCCGGTTTAGCAGGAAACATATTTTTAGCTTGTTTCCTCTTATGCATGCCATGAAAAGCGGTTTTCACAGTTCATTTAAGCAATGGAAAAGCTCTCCTGAGTGTGTTTGATGAGATGCTGTTGCAAGAGATTGCAAGTCTTAAAACAAGCCTTTTGGCGTTGTTTTGTGCACATTTGTAAAGAGAAGCAGCAGAGAGACGATCATTGCTCATATTTCTTCTCATTTTCCATCGTGAGAGCCCAAACTCTGTGTATCTCTGAGGGAGTGCGCGGTGTCTTGGTAGACAGACAGCCTCACAAGCCAAAGACAGCTCCGGCTCCCACAGATTAAGACGGGATTTAGTCGTTTTTAAATCCTTGTTTACCTTAAAGAGAGCGTGCCAGACGCCAGCCTTCAGGATGACATGTTTGTGAGCGTTTTCTGCCACCAGCTCGACATTGGACTTTTATGACGTACAGAGTTGTCTGCACATCCTGATGTGTATCTGTGGGTGCACAGCTGTTATCACGAACACATGCAAAAGTGTGTTTATTTGCCTGGATGTGTGTTTGTGGAGTCAGATGCCAATAAAAATAAGACTTCTTTAAAAGAAGATAAATGTGACAATTTAAAGAGGAATAATTAAATGTGTAGAGCTAGTTGGTTGACAGCTTGGACCTTTTTATAAAAAGCAGAAGCAACAGGGGGAAGAGAAGGAGAAATAATCCGATGAAAAAAGTTGCAATTAAAATATATTTCAAGAATATCTCAAACATTTCAATAAATAGATTATTGTATTTTATTATTATTACATTATTAATTATAATAATTTGACTTTTTGTTCACTTTGATCTGCTATGATTGTATTATTTTATGTTTCCATATTTATTTATTTTATTTATTTATATCTACATATTTGTTGACCTAGTTTTTTCTCTTTATGCTTCCCAAAAACATGTTTACTTTACTATTATACTGGCTTCAAAATGTATCTGCTCATACTCTTTCATACTTTCTTACGGCCCTCCCATGACTCCGTGTATCTGCAGTGGGTTTGGCCGTGATGTCGGTGACCCGGCCCCTCGACCACAGTCAAGCCCCAACGCGTCCCAGAGTGATATCTGTCAGCCTGAATGAACTCCTCTTTCACAATACAGTTGAGTAACACAAGCCGTGTGCACATCATGCACTGTGAACTAAATAAGCAATGTCTAAATATGTGTTAAAGGTCCCCTGTTATACTCAATATATTATAGGTGTCAGATATATACAAAACATGTCTCTGAAGTGTTTGGCTCCAAACACCAAACAGATCATTGCAGCATTACCCATAATCCCCTCTGTTTCAGCCCTGTTTCCAAAGTGCTGATTCTCTGTCTGTTACTTTAGATGAGAATAAGGAGCCCCTCCCCACGCCCCTCTGAGAGACATTTGGTTAGAAAGAACTCAATGGTGCTCTAGGAGGAGATTCAGGTGATAAGGTGGGGGGGTACCTTGGTTGGTGATTGGCTAAAAAAATCGTTATGACATCACAAAGTGGCCAAAATCTGATCAGCTCATTTTCATACAGGTTTTTATATAAATGGATCAGGACAAAAAGTGAGCCAATCTTTGTTCCTGAAGCTTTCAGAATCTCTTTCCACAGAGGGGACACATGTTGATGTAGAAGAGACATGAAGAAGAGGGGACACATGTTGATGTAGAAGAGACATGAAGAAGAGGGGACACATGTTGATGTAGAAGAGACATGAAGAAGAGGGAACACATGTTGATGTAGAAGAGACATGAAGAAGAGGGAACACATGTTGATGTAGAAGAGACATGAAGTAGAGGGGACACATATTGATGTAGAAGAGACATGAAGAAGAGGGGACACATGTTGATGTAGAAGAGACATGAAGAAGAGGGGACACATGTTGATGTAGAAGAGACATGAAGAAGAGGGGACACATGTTGATGTAGAAGAGACATGAAGTAGAGGGGACACATATTGATGTAGAAGAGACATGAAGAAGAGGGGACACATGTTGATGTAGAAGAGACATGAAGTAGAGGGGACACATGCTGATGTAGAAGAGACATGAAGTAGAGGGGACACATATTGATGTAGAAGAGACATGAAGAAGAGGGGACACATGTTGATGTAGAAGAGACATGAAGAAGAGGGGACACATGTTGATGTAGAAGAGACATGAAGTAGAGGGGACACATGTTGATGTAGAAGAGACATGAAGTAGAGGGGGACACATGTTGATGTAGAAGAGACATGAAGAAGAGGGGACACATGTTGATGTAGAAGAGACATGAAGTAGAGGGGACACATGTTGATGTAGAAGAGACATGAAGAAGTGGATTTTGCACAATAGGTGACCTTTTAAAATCAAGAAAATGACAACAGAAACTGACCTTTCCCAGCGTGCCACCTTCCTCCTGTAGTACTCCATCAGCTGCTCCGCCTGCAGCAGCCTCTCCTCCGAACCCAGCACCGGGGTCTTGATGTTGTACAGAGGGTGGGAGAAGAGCCTCTCAAGTTTCGACCCCCCATCATCGGCGGGTTCGGATGTGGTTCCATACAGAGTCCAGTTAGAGAGCTGTGGGGTGGCGAGACCTCCGTGCCTGGGAAGGGTGAAGTTGTCCGAACCGCATGGGCAAAAGTCTCCGGACCCCAGACCCACGCTCCTTAGCTTTGGCAGCAGGACAAAGTAAAGGTCAGCGGAGAAGATGGCAGTGAGGGTCGCGGCTAAGAAGAGACGGTCCCTCCTCATCATTGAAGCAGAGAGTTTAAAATATATAGGAAGCTAAGAAAAGTCCTGATTGTGTGTTGCTCCTCAGAGTGCGAGGCATCACTTGTAATCTCCCACACAGTCAGCCAGGCAGAGAGAGAAACACTCAGAGGTTGGTCCAACTCTGTCTCTTTCTATCTGTGTGTTTCTGTCTGTTGCTTCCAGCTTCACTTCTTCTTTTCCTCCTCCTCCTCCTCCTCCTCCTCCTCCTCCTCCTCCTCCTCCTCCTCCTCCTCCTCCTCCTCCTCCTCCTCCTCCTCCTCCTCCTCCTCCTCCCTTGACAGCGACTGAGTGTGCGTTTGCAGCTGACAGTTAGTCTGTGTCCAGCGACCTGCTGCTCTGAGAGTGTGTGTGAGAGAAGAGAGGGTGAGTCCTCTGTGGGTTTGTATGTGCAGGTGTGTACACAAACATCCAATGACAGGTTAGTAGATTAAGAGTGCAATGAGGGTGTATTAAACACACACTCCGAAGCCCTTGGCAGCAGGAAGAGGTGGAGACTGCACTTCTTCTTGTCACAGCCGATCTGAATGAAACCACGTCCAGCTGGCGTATCTGATGCAATGTGTGTGTGCGGGTCCAAGTCCAGTTTTCATTCAAGTGTGTGTTTGTGTGTCAGGCTGACCCACTTTTCTGGCATGGTGGACTGTGAGTGGGCATGTGTGGATTCAAAGGTGTAAGAGTGTGTGTGACTTGCCTTGACAGACCCAGAAGGCGTGGAGACAAGATTCCCGTCCCCTTGTCATCTTCCAGTCTCGTCTACTTTCACTCCTCCTTCATCGCGACAAATCTCCTCTCCCCCTCCTCCCCCATGCTTTCATCTGATCCCTGCTTCAAAACGTTCATCCTCTTTGCTCTTCTGCCATCTTCTCTCCGCTCTTTCTCTTTCGTGCCTTTTTCGCCACAGACCTGTAGCCTGTTTTGCTCCGGGCAGAAATTGCCAGCTGCACTTTCCTTCCTGCAGCAGTTCCCACAACATAAATCAACATAAACCCTTACAGAGAGACGCACGTTCAGAAAAAGGCAGTACTGAGAGAAAAACGACTAACTCTTGCACAACTTCAAATGAGAGAACACGCAGGGAGAAATAACACCTCCCCTCGTTCACAGACGACCTTCTCTTTGCTCTCCCCCCTCTCTGATTCCTGTGAAAACATACAGTGTATAAATTACGTTCGCTGCTTGTTGGCCATTACGGCTCTAAAAGCCCTAAGCAGCTTTGTTCTGCAGCAATGAAGACCTCTCAGGGCATTTCCCAGCCTGCATCTGCGCTGTTGTTAATGTGGTATTTTGAAACATCTGTCGTCTGTGTGTGTGTGTGTGTGTGTGTGTGTGTGTGTGTGTGTGTGTGTGTGTGTGTGTGTGTGTGTGTGTGTGTGTGTGTGTGTGTGTGTGTGTGTGTGTGTGTGTGTGTGTGTGTGTGTGTGTGTGTGTGTGTGTGTGTGTGTGTGTGTGTGTGTGTGTGTGTGTGTGTGGAGGCAGAACAGCAGCTCTTACAATCTGGCTAAATGGCAGGTTAAAGATTCCTTTCACTGATTTCCAACATCATAGAAGAAGGTAAAACACCCTGAAGAACAACTGCCAGACACTCATGCGTAATTTCGTCTGACAACCACACACACACACACACACACACACACACACACACACACACACACACACACACACACACACACACACACACACACACACACACACACACACACACACACACACACCATGTATACATCACTTCAGGGGACATTACATTGATTAACATGCATTTCCTGGAGACTTATCCTAACCTTAACCATAACCAACACATGCCTAACACTTAACCTTACCCTAATCCTAAACCTAACCAAGTCTCACCCTAAAATGAATGATTCCCCTCATGGGGACCTCCAATTTGTCCCCATATGGGAAGCCAGTCCCCACACGTGACTATGTAAACAGATTTAGGTCCCCACAAGTATAGTAATGCTAGACCACACCCCCCCCCCACACACACACACACACACACACACACACACACACACACACACACACACACACACACACACACACACACACACAGGCTGGGTGATTGCCCCCTGAAATGTATTTGAAGAACACGCCAATAAAAACAAAAAGAGATTGCTTTTGCTGTTCTCATGACTCAAATGTATGATATTAAAATATTTGCCTTTAGACCAGCAGAAGCCATATTTTCCACAGATGGATTTGTTTTCCAATTTAGGTTTCTGTCGATGGTACATGGTCTTTTGAAATTGTATTTTCGAAATGAGTTTTAGGTAAAAAAAATCCTTAAATTGAAGGTCCCGCTGTCACAGGCAAAGCACTGAGAAATGTATGAATGTGTCATCTAGTTTTTTTTATTATATACGTTATCACTGAATTTGTGCTAATTAGCAAAAAACTGGTGATATTTCTGACAATGCGACACATTTCAGTAATGCTTTGTTGTCTTACGCCTGTGTAGTCTATGACTGGCCCTGTTTGTCCCAGCTGTGTCTGTTTGTGTTTAACCCAAAGAAAGCTCGCTTCAAACCCCGAAAAACATCCAGACCAGTGCTTAAAATAACCCCGATTACAGGGATGAGCGGGCAAGCATGCATAGAAGATGCAATATCGAATATGAGAAGAAAGCAAGCGTGAATAGAGCATTGAGTCTTATGCCGACTATTTGTGCAATTCAGTAGAGCTTTGATGATGAGCACAGGGTTTGGTGGAGAAAGATGAGATGGCTCATGTTTTGTTTGGATGACCCAGAAAGTCTCAAATATCAAGAAATGTCACACTGCTGATAAAACCCAACACAATAAGAGTATTGTGAAGCTGCTTTTTCACAAATACAAGGGGAATATGTAGCGATAAAAACAGTTAAAGGTGGGGTATGTAATTTATTTCAGAAACACTTTTTGTTATATTCCATGGAATGCTCTTAACATCCCGATAGCAATGAATACATTAAATGCTTTGACAATGAAGGGGCAGATTTGTTCCAGTTGTGTATTTTCAAATTCTAGCGCACTCGAGCTGCTTTCTCCAAAATTACATACCCAACCTTTAAAGCAGTAGTTCACCAATCTGGGAATTAGCCTACCATTAGCCTAGCATAGTTTATGATTGGCAAAACAGCTAGCTTTGATCTATCAGAATGAAATAAAACATAATGTGCCAGAATATTTATATGTTGTGGGTAATAACTTCACGGTTAACCTCACAATGACAACAGGACTCCAAGGACTGAGTCAAATAGCACAGAGCACAAAGAAAGAAGGCTATCAAGGACTGCTAGTTAGCTCTCAGTTAGCTAAACTGGAAGCAGGCCCGGTTCTACGGGGGTGCTTAAGGGTGCATTGCACCCTCAGTTGAGTCGTTATGCACCCTCATTTGAAAAATGTTTATGTATAATAATAGTAATAATAATAATAAGAATATAGTTGAAATAAAATAAATTGTAATTGTGGTTAAATAACATTGTCTGCTGCATTTATTTGGTCAATTTAAACGGTAAGTAACGTTATTATTATGTCAGGTGCGTGTGACCTGTGCCGCTGCGCGTTCGTCATCTGCAAGGTGCTTATACAGAACATCAGAAAATGGTTAAAACAACCAGCCCTAATCGCCAGCAGTAACACTGCAGGTAATAACAGTTCAGATCATGGGAACATTACATTACCTGCGGCCACTGTCGTGGACACTAAAGCCCGACTCGCCGGCTTTGCCCGCCTCGCCCACGGAGGCGGAGTAGCCGCAGCCGTCTTCGTTGCCCGAAACACCTCGGCAAAACAGAGCCTGCCCAGGTATATTTAAAAAAGTACCCAACTCGCCTGTACAGTGGGGTAAGGCTTTCCAGCTCATGGTTTCAAAACAGAGATTGGCTGGAATATTCATGTAAAAAAGATGTCATCTTCTGCTATGCATGTAGACATTTCGGTCTTAAAAGGAGAGTGATTTGTAAAATATCCATAAAGAAAAAGTCAATCTGTTTACAGTTCTGTTAAATATGGGTGTTGAGATGTATCCATAGATCTCTTCATTTTGCTATCAAAGTGCACCAGATTGATGCTTTTAACTTGAATATAAAAAAAAAAAATCTTCCCGGGGGAGCATGCCCCCGGACCCCCTAGAGGAGGTGAGGACCCCCCTAGAGGGTGTTAGGTCAACCCCCCACTTATAAAAATAGCACTTTACCACTGCACCCTCTCTAATCTCAGATGCACCCTGAGTCATTTTGTTCTGGAACCGGGCCTGGCTGGAAGCAAGGAGTGCTGTCATCCTACAGAAAGAAACCCTCTATTTAACTACATGTCAAGTTGTGTAAGAATGAAACAAACATATTAACAAACCTAATGCAAAAGTGGCAATAGACATGCCTTCTGTCTGCCTTCAGGCCTGTTCTCCAGGGGAAATGAAGGATCGATTCAGGGCACAAAGGAACTGTGTCAACCATTGTTCCATCAAAGCAGAACGAAGGTAGGATTATGTTTCAGTATTGGTAGCCATCACCGGTTACCAAAGAGTATCAATGTTCAGTAAGTTCTTTACAGAATATCCCCAGTGGTTCAATGGGCGGGCAGTGAAACCACCTCAGTAACTAAATGCTCTTCTGTCATGTGTTGTTGATTGTTGCTAGCAGGAAAACGGATAGCACGGATATGATCTGGTTGTCTTTGCAACACGCCGCCAACAATAATACACTTGGAAACACCAGGGAGAAAAAGTTGATGGAAGATTTCCTTTTTATATTCACTTGCCATTTCCAGTCTCTATGCTAAACTAATCGTCTGCTGACTCTCTTTCATTTTGCCTACAAACACAAGGGATTTGAATATTCTCATCTAACTCTCAGCGTAAAAATGACAGGACTATTCACTTTAAAAAAGATGAGGAAGAGATGACTTCTCAGTTTTCAGCCCACATAAATTGGCACATACAGAAATGCACACAATATAAAGGGAGGAGGTTGCAGCAAAGAGAAGAGAGGATTACAAAAGATGGAAAAACCAATTGAAAGATTGAGAGAAATTAAGTTAAAACAAGAAAAAGAGGAGGCGAGGAAGGCATGCATGCAAACCCAGATTTGTCCCATTACAGAATGGCAGTATTCCTCATTTTCTTCTTTTATCCCTCTTTTATTATCCTCTCAAATCAAATTTTCTGGACAACTTTAGCCTGAGCGTGGAGCGCTTCAG